CTTAAACCTACCCCTGGGTCACAAGTCCCAGTCACTGTTGAAGCTCCTCTCACTACAACGATGGACCCGACACACGGACCGTGAATACATGGAATGATGAGAAGATTCATCTCATCTATTTAGTTTGCTATCTTTATGTAGTTTCCTTGAAGTTTTTTCTTGAAAATCGCCAAATTTCAATATTGAAAACGTTTTGAAGTATTTTGTATATATAACTTGCTGATGTTTAGTCTAAGTTGTCATCGTCACTACATACTCCACGTCAACAGTATTTCATTCGTAACTTCTCTCATAGTATTAACGTGGGTTAATGAGAAACGGGAAACTATTAGTATGTAGTGTATACAAACATGTGGTAAGTATACACTTTTAATAACGAAAAAATTGGTATTATAACTAAAATAGATCAATTGATTTAAGTTAAAATATAAATATCTAAAGTTATTTTTATAAAGACATAAGAATCTTTGCTATTTTTAAAATAGAAGCTGATTTTGTCTTAAAAGCATAACATAAAAAAGCAGGCTTTGAAAAATAAACTTGAAAGATCATTGTTGAAAAACGTATTTCTAAATTCGACACAATTTCTTTGTCATCAAATATTAATTGAATTTTCAAATCTAGTTATTGTATTACTCATGTATGTAAATATTCTAAGAACATTATAATAATTTATAAAGTTTTTTAATTAAATATATGTTAAATTATATCCAAGTCTAAACAGGCGCCATGATGCTTCGTGCGTCATTTTAATGATTAAAATGGTGGTTTGAAACACATAATATGTTAGTTACATTTACGAAAATGATAATAAGTCGTCGTCATCAGTCTATCAGAGCCCACTGCTGAGCTTCTTCTCACATGGAGAAGGTTTGAGCATTAATAACCACGCTCGCTAAGACGGGTTAGTGATTTCAAACTTATAATTTGTTAAGTCCATGTTTCCTCACGATGTTTTCCTTCATCTGTCAGTGGTGTCTAAATACTCTTATAAAGTACATATGACTCGGAACATCACTTGTACTTGACAGGTTCGAACCCGCGCCCTCCTGCACGAGAGGCGTGCCCTTTAACCACTAGGCTACCACTGACTATATTATATTATATACATATATAAAGATATATTTATTATCCTTAAGGAATTATATAATAGATAATTGATTTAAATATGTATATTAACACAATTTATAAATCATTAGATTCAAAATGACTCACATCCCGACAGATCGTAATAGGTACTTTACCTGGAAATACCTCGACAATACTTAATTCAATTATTAATTATATGAAAATGCCTTCCTTGTTAATAAATTCAAGAATACATATACTAGTTATATCTCTCGACTTCGTCCTCGTGAACATCAGAGTGTCTCTCAGAGCTATGTATAAAGTGTGTTAACAGTACATATAGTGACATACGTCGCGGACTTTACATTTATATAACACACCCACAGACAGCGACATCTACCGGCGTGAGGAGTGAATATAAACTATACAGAGACATACACACGTACAGGAGAAATATATATGTGTGTGTGTTTGATGGAAAGAATACTTTAAATTCGATAAGAAATAATGTAAAAACTTGTTATTTGATCTATCCGATGTCCGAGACTCTGCTCGTATTTTTTGAAATATTCAGTCGCTATTTCTATACAGGGTGACTGATGAATTACTATCAATATTTAAGGAGCATACTCGGTACATGATTCTCATTCGAATTATGTAAAAAAAATAGGTAGTTATTTTTTGACCAAATTTCCGTATAAATAAATAAAGTGTGGACACGTTCCAAGTGTGGACGCGTGCGGCGGCGTGCTGATACAACACCACGCCGCCGCACGCTTGTGTGTGTGTGTGTGTGTGTATACCTAATCTGTAGGGTGTTCACACGATGCGTAATAAATTACATAACTTTTGGTTAACTTTACTTAGAAGTTTATTAATATTTATGTTATATTAATTTTTATTTTGTCATATATGATCGTCAAATATCACGTCCTCAAGTATCGATAGTAATTCACCAGTCACCCTGTATACGTGTTTGAATTTATTGTTATAAATAAGATCTTATAGAACTTTGATAGAAAGAATAGGTACTTCAAATTTGATGAGAAATAATGCAAAAATATAAAAAAAACTATCAGATGTTCTGTACTCCATTCGCGTTTTTTGGAAATATTCAGTTTTAGTATATACAAGAATATATATATAACTTTAAATTTATAATATTGAATTATGATCCATTTAGTAATTTCCTCGTGATGCACGTAAAGTTTGACTGCAAAAATTGATTACTTCTTATATCGAGAATTGCAAATACTTACTATTCCTTACAAAACTCACTCATTAGGACAAATCACAACCCTCACACAAAAACATACCCTTACCTTCTTAAATGAAGGAAAACATCGTGAGGAAACCTGGACTTATAATCTATATAAGTTTGAAATCACCAATCCGTCTTGAGCAAGCGTGGTGATTAATCCTCAAACCTTCTCCATGTGAGAAGAGCTTCAGCAGTGGGCTCTGATAGGATGATGATGATTACTCCTTAATAGTTTTGTTTTTGATAAAACTACATGTTTCTTACAACACCTTTTATCATAATATACACACTAATTACCACAAGTCCGAATTCAGACTACAGGTTTATCAGTCAGTTATCACTTATAAATATTAGTATATGAAATCTAAATAAACTCTCAGTAAATAGTGTGTAAATAGAAAGTGCAATTTTATGTTAAGATGCATAATTTTAGTTTCATAATTCATTTAAAACTATAATTATTTCAGAACATGCTAATACTTCTTTTACGTTAATAATAATATAAAGAAATACGAAAAGAGAAGAAATGAAGAGATTTAAAAAAGCTATTAATTTTTTTTTCACTATTTTATTAATTTGTAAGACTTTTTCGAGTATTTATTTAAATGAAACTAATATTTTCGTATACTACGCCTTTTTATTATTTTAACTACACTCCTAAAGTTCTATACTTTGCAGCAACAGTGATCAACAAGACAAGATATAAAATATTATTTTGCATAAAAAAATAATTTTCTCTAACAATTAATTCTCATATAAATAAAATCATTTATCTGACGTCAAACAATAAACGGAGAATTCTCTTTAAATACGATGCCTTGAATGTTAATTGGTTTAGTTATTTGTGGAAAAATACTAATTGATCTATATCTATTTATACACTAGTTTATTCACGCGGCTCTGCTTGGAGTTTAAAGAAAATTTGCTTAATAGTGATAAAGCACATTTTTCTCACGTCTAAGGGTTTTGGCTATTGTAATAAGAATTTCCGAAACTGGACCTTTAAGAATCTTTGATAGAAAATCTAAGAAACTAAATTAATTTCGAAACACGAAATCCGGATCTTTAGTTTGTTTAATTTACATATAATATAGTATCTCAATTTAAGTCTGTGGTGGCCTAGTGGTTAAAAGGCCCGCCTCTTATGCACGAGGGCGCGGGTTCGATCCTCGCAAGTACCAATGTGATGCTCCCGAGTCATATGTACTTTATAAGAGTATACTGACTGATGAAGGAAAACATCGTGAGGAAACATGGACTTATAATTTCACAATTATAAGTTTGAAATCACCAACCCGTCTTGAGCAAGCGTGGTGATTAATGTATTCCAACAGAGGATTGAAAACAATTAGCCAAAACTATTCACAACATGTAAGGCAGACCCTGGCTAAAGCTGGGAAATTGCCAGGAAGAAGATAGTATCTCTATCTTCATTCATATGTAAGATTTAGTAATAAAAGAAAACAATTAGTGAGGCAAATGATAAAATAAAAGATTTTTTAAGCAAAAATAATCGTTTAATTCATTTTTGTTCATCTTAAAATACTATAACACAAGTTTTTATACAAATATAGTATCATTTGGCTGCCTCTTAGTCTTCATTGGGATAAAATTAAAACATTTACAAGAAATATAGAAATTATATATGTATATGTATGTACTTTTTAATATACATTTTTTCCAAATTTTGCCATTTTTTTATACAGAATGGTATATATGTTTGTGTAAGATCAATTTCAGTAATAAAATTAATTTCTAAATTACATACATATAAGAATAAATATGATTTAAAATCTTTAAAAGATAAGTAGTGTTATTAATAAGAAAAGACATTAAATTTATATTTTTAACATAAATAAGAAATATTATTATAACTGGTACCACAAGCGTTTCATTGAAATAGCCTCAAATATATATATTTATTTATTTAAGCTATATTTCAGCCATTTAAAATTTTGTCAAAACTTAATTATGTTCATATACTTATTATTGTGACTTAATTTCCCCGTCATACCTAAAATTATTGATGCATAATAAGCATTAGCGACACAGCCAATATTTAAAAAAGTCATATTTATGTAAATTATACAAAAAAAAGCAATTCGTATAGTAATTCAAATAACTACAATATACACTTGATTTTTTCTCTTTACTAGAAAAAATGCTCAGTGCTTGTTGAGTGAAGCAATCGTTTTCTAGAATTAAAATTGAAATTATTATAGTTGTCTAATTTACAATTTTTTCAATAAAAACTGTCTAAGATGTGGGCTATCAACCAATATTTCAACTCGATCGTACATTCGGTTGTCGAAATCATCTTTGTAGATAAATGACCTTAATCACCATTATTTTCGTTTCGGTGCTTCGCTCAACTAAGCACATTTTTAAACGAATTTAATATATCATCGAGGATAATGAAAATTCGGGATACTATTTGATAATTGCGTCTATCTACATTGATAAATTAAAAACAATATAATTACTTATTGTGATAAAATTACCTTAAAATTGGTTAATATAGAAAATATTTCAGTTCAAACTTTCTTTTCATCTGCTTCCAATGTAGATACGCGGAATTATACAATGTAATCACGCGGATTTGCATGATATAGGTAACATTATTCTCACCAAAACTTATATACTTAGAAATATTTCTTTACACAGACTAACATCAACACAGACAGTAACTTTTATCTTTCTCCTGTTCTTTAGCAAGCTGAACCCTCGATTCCTCAACCTTCTGCATCAAGTCGCGATCCGCTACACAATCGTCGACTATCTTTTGGAATAATTCCTCTGTAATTTCATTACACTATACTTATACACGGAGAAATAGCACCAACATATTAAATATATGTTACTGTTCATTATAAATTTTAATTTTTAATAGACAATATCAATGAAAAGCAAAATTATTGATAAAAAATAAGTCGTTGAAGAAAAATGTAAGCAACTGCCATATTGGATTCTTCTAAAATTTCGATATGTCAACTAATTGAAAACATGTCAAAGTTTTGTTCAAAATTGATATAAAAAAAATAAAACATACTCAAGTATTAATTAATTATTTTATTTAAAGAAGAATCATTAAAATGGCGTCACTTAAAGTATATATTGTTATATAAATTATTTTAAAATCTTTTACAAATCAACCTTATATATAAAATTCTTGTGTCACAATGTTCGTTCCCGTACTAATCCGAAACGGCTGGACCGATATTCATGAAATTTTGTGAGCATATTGAGTAGGTCTGAGAATCAGCCAACATCTATTTTAAGTCATAAGGGTCGTTCACCCTTTATTTTTTTTATAATGTTGCAATAAAAAATACATACAACCCAAAATTCTTACTCTTTTATCACAAACCCCTATTTTTTATGACAAAACAACGTTTGCCGGGTCAGCTAGTATATATATAGGCAACACTTACCAACATTTTCCCCCGTTTTGCTCGATGTCAAGTAATGTCCATTCAGTCCTTGTGAGTAAGTCGCTATAATATCTTCTGGTACTTCTCTAGTTGAATTTGTATCTAACAAATCTTTTTTCGTACCGCATAGATATACTTTACAATCCTGGATAAATAAAGAATATATATTATTATATATGTATCAACAGTCAGCGCCATCTATCGCGTGTCGTTACTTCATACAATACATCTGTCATGAAGTGTTCCCGGGAACTACACGGACTGAACGATACATTATATACTATGTGTTATTATAATGTATAACATGTATTATTGTACAGTTAAATTAAAATCTATTCTGTAGTAAAAAACATCCATGTATAGAATATTAAGTCAGCGGTTGCTTAGTGGTTAAAAGGTACGCCTCTCATGCATGAGGGCGCCGGTTCGAATCTGGCCCTCCAATTACCAATGTGATTTTTCCGAGTCATATGTACTTTAATATTTCATGTAAAACAATACATACGTTATCCAACTGTCAATACATTTATTACTACTGTATACTTGATTATCATTCCGTGATAAATTATATCTTATATATACAAGCTACATTACTAAAAAAGTTCCAACAAAATCAGTTAAGTAATTTTAGTATTCTGAGCAACGAATAACCTCAAATTTGCTTTCATAATATTAATAGGTACATGGGCCAGCATTGTCAATTGTCACCACTATGAAAATCATTGGCCAATCATAAGCCAATCATTGGCCAACTATCAGCCAATTCCGAAATACCCACCTCTTCAACAGTCCGTAATTCCGCCAGCCAATGTCTCAGTCTAGCCCAAGATGACGCACAGCAAGGGTCATAACATATAATAGCCGCATGAGCACCTCTATAGTACATGCGAGTCATTGCTTCATACCTGAAATTGATACACAGACAAATATATCCCTACTAATATTATAAATGCGAAAGTAACTCTGTCTGTTACGCTTTCACGCTTAAAACACTGAACTGATTTTAGTTAAATTTGGTACAGACATAGAGTTGGCTTTGAGAAAGAACATAGGATAGTTTTTATCAGAGACTTTTGAAAGGTTCTCTTGGAAACGCGATATAACCGAACTCCACGCGGGCAAAGCTGCGGACGGAAAGCTAGTATATATATATGTATATATATATATATATATTACATGTTATTAATATATAGATTGCTCCATTCACCAATTCAAGTAAATAAATAGTTCAATCATCAAAATAATTGGAATATCAGTATTTTGACTTTGGTTTGGTAGAGAGAGGAACTTGTACGGTGGGGATGAGCGTTTAACGTGTTAGATAGAGGTCAATAAAACCTACACCTGGGTCACAAGTCCCAGTCACTGTTGAAGCTCCTCTCACTACAACGATGGACCCGACACACGCACCGTGAATATATGGACTGATGAGAGGTTTTGCTCATGATTTTCAGGGTTCAAATCAAACTTATGCTGGTGAATTTCTATTATATACACAGTGGAACCCCTATCATCTGACATCTTCTATTACACACATGTATACACTAATTCATGCACCATCACTATTGTGCTTGATGCATAGGTATTATTTTTATTCTGGTTACTTAATTTTTCTCCATACATTTGTAATATTGTTATTGGGTCTGTTATTTGTCGGAAAAGAAACTACTCTCTGGTAAAACAAAACTGACTATACAGGGCTAACACAGTGCCCTATAATCTGGTAAATTTGATAACTATCAAACTCGACACAGCCCTGTAAAATATTTGTCGGACTACTGGGAATTCACCGTATTCTACTTAAATTATGCTACTACTACTATTAATAATTTTACCGCTCACTTCCAGCCGTATCCCATATACCTATGTTCAGATCTTTGCCGTTGGAATGCATTGTTTTAGCACAGAAAGCCGCTCCGATCGTCTGAAAAATATACACATTTATTTAAATACTACATATATTTACTGACGAGAAATATAAGTAATTTAAAATGACGACGGATATTTTTAGCATGACTAAGAATTTTAAGCATACCACATTATTTTAACATAACTTAAATTGTTAAAATCAATCAATATGTAGTGGTAATTTATTTTACAACTAACCAAAATGTTTTGTTTATACTTTATTTATCATAAACATAGATTTATCTTCATTATCACTAACAAAGAACACGACTGATAATTTTACGTAATATTTAAAAATAATAAAATTACAAAAAACTCACGTTTTGATATGGGGTGCCAGAATTAAATCTGCAATTAACAAATCTCAACACTAAACTCGTTTTTCCAACATGCTCGCTGCCGAGCAGCACAATTTTGAAGTCGCATCTACTCATTTTACACTTATTTTACACAAAATAATATAAAAAATCGACACTCATATCTTAGAGATACGCATTTCTGTTTTTTTCACGATATACCAAAGTTTCTCTGTAATTTTAATTAGTGTGATTAATACACAAGAGATTTATAGTTCGCATGTTCTTTGTTACATAAAAAATGTTGTAAAATATTTATAAATATATATTTTTTTGTTATTCAAACAATGTGTTATTCATTTTTATATTTGACGGAAATGACAATCAAATCAGGTGATAGTGAATTATTTTTGTTATGGCAATATTGTTAAATGTCAGTGTAGTATAATTATTGTTGTGAATTGTTCTTTTACACAATTATTACCTAATTATAATATAAATTTAAAAATTATTAATTAATTAGTGTTTATTAGATAAATTAAATTATATTTACTAATATTACACTGACAATAATATATTTATTCTATAAATTTCTTACGATTAACCTAATGTCAGAACTATTTAATTTAGCGCCATCTCACGAAATAAAGACAAACTACTACGTTGGCTAATGCTGAAACTACCTACATCATTATGAAAAGTAAATACAGATGGCGCGGAAACAAGATTTTATACCTTTTGAAAATCAAATTCTTAACCATATATGTATTGCCAAGGACTTATTCAAGATATACGTAAATTAGGCGATAATAATAAACAAAACTGTTTAAGATAATTAAGAATTTTATTTATATTATTTAAAAGAATCGCGTATATGCTTTTTTTTAGAAAACTATCGTACCTACTTTTCTTTCATTATACAGGCAAATTGGACACTACATAAAAGAAATGTATATAAAAAATATGTATTTAATAGAATGAAAAAATACAATAAATGAACCTTTAACTTACGAAATGTCAAGTTTCATTTACTTTACTAACTAAACTGTCGTGTCCCTGACTCTTGTAAGTAATTTTTTTGTCCTATATTTTCTAATTTAACATTAGCAATACATTCCTAAAATGTTAAAATAAGAATAGAACGAAGTAAGAGGGGGATATTTTATTATACATTTTTAATCGTTATAATTTTAATCAGAGGAATAAAGGCAAGTTTATATATAAATAACGATTTTTCATTAGTAAGTTGGTGATGATGTCATACGTATTGCGAATTTAGGTCATGGCAAGTTGAAAACGAAAGTTTACTATAGGTGCTAAGAGATGGCGTTGTAATTGAAAATGTAATTATTTTGTTTTTATTTATTTTTTCATATGATTTTATTATTTGATATTATCATGTATAGTAAGTTGCTTATGTGTGAATTTGGAGCTATTTTTATTCTATTTTATCACATTTGTAGAATTGTTTAAGATACAAACTTCAACCTTTTTTTAATTAAACGAAGGCAGATATTTAAAACATAATTATTTAAGACAAAAAAAAACTGTTTGCAATTAATGTACAAGTAATTACCAAAGATTCCAACATTATTGAAATTTAAAAAGAATAGTTAAAGCTCTCAACGTAGGAAGATATTTGAAAATACTTTTTTAAAACTAGTAAAAAGACGGTATGAAATATTTTTTATAAAGCAGTCAATCCAATCAATACAAATTACTGAGTAATACGCCAAATTTAAAAAAAGCCTTTTGTGTTTCTTCAGTGAAAAATCATTGAAATCAATATAAATAGTTTCTATATAAAATAACATTATACAAAAAGTAATATTTGAATCTATAGGTAGTTATAACCTATTGTATTTCAGACAAATGTTAGACAAAGCTTATGCCAAGCCCAGTATTATCGATCGGCAATCAAACATCACTTAATTTTAACTCCTATCTCTATATCAATAGAGATTATTTTGCAATAATTGCTTTTGTATTGATTTTTTAAAGATAAAAAGATAACCACAATATACCTACGTTGTCAAATTGACGTCAAAAAAAACGCGCCAAATTTCGCAAAATTGCAGGTTAATAAAATTGCTATTTGTTTTAAATTTATATTTAAATAGGTTTTCGTATTTAAATAAGTTAAAGAAGGATAAAAAACGCTATATTTATAATGACCTTGTTAACCTTTAAATAATTTCTTTAAGCATAAATTCTTGCATCATGAAAAGATTTATTTGGATATTTTTCCTATTTAATATATAATTATAATTCTAATTCGAAATATTTTATATCAAATTATTATTAAATTAATAAAAAGAATAAATAATTTTTAAAGTTCCTATAAAATTATTAAACACATTGGCATAATAGTTTATGCTGGATTAGTTTAAAAAACATGTTTTTAATATAATTGAAACATAAGATTTTTAATATCTATGTATTTATATCATACTAATTTATTTTTAATGAACGACCTTAAACAACAGTTTATCCAGTTGGGTGACCGTGAAATTATAGGTATTGAGAGAACACGTATGCATAAAATCGAGCTTTCCGATATTTTTTACGATTATATAAATTAATTAATTCACATCACTACGTATTTTAATTATTAAAAATATTTTAATAATTCTTAGGCTGTATAAATAACGTTCGGAAATATAAGTGTTGTTTTTAAACTGATTTGTATACAAGTTATAAGTTGAAGCCGTATAGAGTGGCGATAACGCACAAGTCTTATCAGAGTTTGAGCAATACAATGCCAAGTGCCAACTCAGCGCAAACCTACCTATATGTACAGTATTTCCACACTGTTTCCTTCGTAATTCATACTCACTTCAACCCACACCCAGTGAATGTTGCCAAAAATATTAAAATATATGTTAATATTCATTATTTATATTTATAGTATATCAAAATTAAATATTTAAATGTTATTTTAAAAATAATTAATGTTATTAATTTGATGTATTTAAGTTTTGAATGAATTTTGGTATAACACGACCAAATTATATGAATACTCTCCTACGTCTTACATTTAATGTATCTAAATAATAAGTGTATTTAAATTTAAAATCTAAATTAATAGAAATAGAGTTTAAATTACAATAAAATATTGTAGGTACTTAAGACGTTATTACATTTCGCCACGAGGCTAGACGTGGCCGTTTCAAATTGACAGCGCTATAGACGATGTTGCCAGTACAAAAATAATTTTGTCTTTTTCACTCCTCCCTATGGCAGTAGCATCACCTTCTTGCTGAAGCAATGGACGTAGAGTCAGTTTTTATAATAACGAAATCTTGTTTATATCTACGATAAACGAGCTCGTAAACTTTTTTAAGCACTTTAAAAATCAATTTCGTACAACAATAATGTAGTGCGTGCATTTATAAATGATCAAAAACGTTGATTTTTCTTTATTTCCATTGGCTTTACACCTCCATTAGGCATTATCAAGTTTACAATTGATTAAGTAGCAAGCTGAGTTATATTTTATACATTATATTGTTTAAATCTCACAACAGTTGTTATAAATTAAGTTTTAATAACTAGATAGGTGTATTATAGTTTGTTTTGTGCAAGTTTTATTGTTATATTCGTGTTAATACGTGTTTTATTATGGCTTCACAAAATGGTTTCAAGCTAGGTAAGTTCATAAATTGTCATTTTTTACTGCATTTCCAATGCATCGATAAGAATTATAATTACAAAAGCTACCTACCAGCCGTGTGATGGCTGTGTTTGTGGTTTTAATAAGATTTGTATAAGACTTAGTATAGAGTAATTTAGTCTGAAATAAACGAGTGGAAATAACTTACTTTAACCCAAGATACACCAATTGGAACTTGAGTAACATTTACACATAATAATTAAATATAAACAACTGAAAATTATCTATTATTAGTATTCTTATATATATGTACATATAAAAGTTTTTTCCAATCGATTTTTGTATATACATATGTGACTAAAATCTCCAAATATCTACATTAAAATGAGATCAACCAAGTCTCAATCATCTATATAAGGTTACTGAAAATTTTTATATTGTAAAATGTGAAAGTAACGTGAATTCGGTCCAAAAAAAGTTATTGGTATCAAAATTTTATTCTACATTTAATATACTTATTTACAACTATTATATATTACATTATATACTCTATATATATATAGATATATAATGTGTTATTTAGTTAATTACTAGTATATGCCCACGACTTTGCCTTAATTTTAGTATTTGTAACATATCGCCGACAGGCAGTAAATAACAATATATTGGATTTTCTTAAGTATTTTTTTATATCTAAATATCCTATGTCCTTTCTCTTCTTTAACCTGCCGATTATCCAGCTTTAGTCAGGCTCTGCCTTACATGTTGTGAATAGTGTTGGCTAATTGTGTTTACGTCCGGTCGCCTGGCTGACATCAACCCTCTTTGGGAAAATCTAATCTAAGTATACTATGTCCTTTCTATGTTCTAATCTATCTCTCGACCAATCTTCATCCAAACCCGTACAGTCGTTAGAGTTATAAATAGTGTAACTAACACAACTTTCTTATATATAAAGATATTATAATCATATAGAATTTGCTCGATATATGTAACTTGAAATCAAAATACCTCCTTAAAACTTGCTTTTCATATTAAATGTATGAGCTATAATGAAAATAAGTATTTAATATATGTTTTAATTAATAACAAAAAGATTATAATTCTAAAAATGTGAGAATGGTAAGGTTATATATAAAAAATCTTTAATTTCAGTTAATAATGTACTTGACATAGTAATTATATGTATATACTAGAAGACATATCTTTTTTATTTATATTTTTGGAGTTTACCTATTAAAGCCATAAATCTCCGTGTTTTGAAGTGCGACAGAATGATTGACATATTAGTTAGTTGTCAAATCTAATGTAAAAAAAACCTTTGTATCAACAACTACTAATAAATTAAGAATTAACCTAAAAAAACATTGTCCAGCAGACAAAATTGTGAATCTAAACCATTCCCAGATCCCCTTAAACACACACAAAAAATTTCATCAAAATCGGTCCAGTCGTTTGAGAGAAGAATTATATACATAAAGATATAAATAAACTTGTATATATACTTCATTAAAAGAAGTTTGATGTCAGGCAGGCGGCTGGTCGTAAAAGCAATTAGTCAAAACTATTTACAACATGTAAGGCAGACCCTGGCTATAGCTGGGAAATCGCCAGGAAGAATAAGAAGAAGATATACTTAATTAAAAGTGAATTTAAAAGATATTACTTATATACAATAATTACATTGTATTACATTATACTATTTTTTGGTATACCATTACCCACTTGAAGTACTCTAGTTGAAAACATTCAATTCTATTGATTGTAGTATAGAATAAAAAGATTTCTTCTTGTATTATCATGAAGTCATTCCTTTAACTGTATTTTAATTTTTTTTCCATACTTTTGATTCATAACCGAATTTTATAACACATTTTTATAATAAACTAGCTGCGCCTCACGGTGTTACCCGCGTTATTTCCGGGATGTAAAGTAGCCTATGTGTTATTTCTGGACGTCAGCTTCCTGTATACAAAATTTTATTAAAATCGGTTCTGCCGTTTGAGCGTGAAGAAGTAACAAACATACACACACTCACAAACTTTTGCAATTATAATATTAGTAGGATGGTTTGGTTAAATATAGTACAGACTCATTTATTATATATATATACTCATTTATTAAAAATATATACACAGAATTAAATGTAATTATCTACATTAAATTCTGTGTATATATTTTTTTCTCCATTAAATGGTTGTTGATAACTCAAAATATACCATATTTATTTGTAATAACCCTTTATACAATATATATATGTATATATGCTCAAGTTTGATTTCAGAATTAAATGTTTAAAATATATATATTTTTAATTTTTGTACATAAATTTAAAACATTCATCCATTTAACCATGAAAGTTTTATTCTAATTTATATATATTTGTTTAATTAATAGTTATTAATTGTGATGTATTGTGTTTTCAGTGTAATCATATGAAATAATGGCACTCTGCGAGGGGCAGTTGGATTCTGTTCTTCAGATCAACGGTGAAAAGGTTCAGATGGAGAAAAAGATGGAATCTAACGGTGATATGTACGGATTGGACAACGGTGAGATTTATATATATATATATATATATATATATATATATATATATATATATATATATACTTTCCGCATGCAGCTTCGCCCTCGTGGAGTTCGGTTATATCGCGTTTCCAAGAGAACGTTTCAAGAGTCTGGGATAAAAACTATCCTATGTTCTTTCTCAAGGTCAACTCTATCTCTGTACCGGATTTCATTAAAATCAGTTCAGCGGTTTAGGCGTGAAAACGTAACAGACAGACAGACAGACAGTTATTTTCGCATTTATAATATTAGTAGGGATACTAGGCCACCACTGACTTAAGAACAACCCTTACCATTTGGGGGTATGAAAAATAGATATTAGCCGATTCTTAGACCTAGTGAATACATATATAAAATTTGGTCAAAATCAGTAAAGCCATTTCAGACGAGTGTGGTAACTAATATTGTGACATGAAAATTTTATATATTACATATATTTATATTTGGTTACCATTTAGTATAATAGACAATAGATTCCTTTTATTTGTATAGTATATCTGCCTTTTGTCATAGCACCAATCTTTGTGTTATCGTAGAATAATAATGAATCCTGACCAGATGTATTTGGAATATATTCCAGGAATGTATAAAAGAACGAACCTGGAATAAGATTTTTCCATATAATGATAATGGTATTGTCGTATAATGTGGGTAGTTGTGACTATTATGGCTATAACTTAGCCAGAATTCTAGCCATGTAGAAAATTATATCTATTTGACTGTATTGAGAAAAATATCCTATTTTATTTCGCTTGATTTATGTGCAATGTATGTGAACACTAGAATTCTTCAAATTAGTGCCATATTAGTGTATTTTTTTGGGGAAATAGTTTTGTTAATAATTTTTTTGTGTATTTCCAGTACCGCCTTTGCCTCTGAGCGTGGATTATCGCTCGCCAGTATCACATTTCGTCCCGCCAGCGGTTGAGCTATACGCAAATAGACATAAACCGGAAATACATGTTGGTAAGTTATTTGGCACAGGTTTTTGGGGCAAGAAATGGTCTTTCAGACAGAAAATTCCAGATATGGACCTATAGAAGATGATGCGAGAATTTTTTCCAGGAATTTTGGTCCATAGCTTTCAAATTTTTTCTTATTATCACGTATTTTGAGAGCTTCGTGCATGTATATGATTTTTTTTTGCATTTTTTCCACTTTTAATGTGATAGTAGTAGTAAATTGGTGTGAGGTGTTTGGTAGAACGAAGTAGCCATTAAAGATGCATTTTTTTGATGTTGGCAAAAATATTTTTTTCTTTATTACAAGTTTTTACTAAAGGTCATTTATCGGAAGACAAAAAGGTTCATAAATGTGGCCATATTGGTTCATAATGTGACTGCAGTGGCCATAGTATATCTGCCTAGGTTGCTTCTGATGCTTAAAAGTTTTGTCTTTTGGAGATCAGCTCGAAAAACTAGTAAAGAAATGTAACTTATGTAGGCTTAAATCATACTAAGACCTCGGGTTTTAAAAGTGGTGAGGATATTTTGGGGTTTTAACGTTAAAAGAGGGAATTGGTTTTAAAAAAACATCCGAGCGTGGATCTTATTCAAAATTTGAGACAAAAGTCAAGTTTTTTCCATATTTTTTAACACGCTATGGAAAATCGTATGCTATATCAATTTAGGAGATGCTTCTGAAATAGAACAAGAAATACATCATCTTAATTTAGGAAAAAGATTCTCCAGTGAATTTTTTTTTGTTTTGCATGGCTTCTTTTTTTATTATTTCTTTTTTTTTCCTACGTCCCTAGCTTCGTCAGCTAGCGAGACGACGCCTCCAAAACGCAAGCGTGGCCGTCCGAGAGTAGATAAGACGAGCCCGGAGTACCTTGCTAACCTGGCAGCAAGGAAACAGGCCAGGGAAATGGGTATATATATATTTTTTACCAACCAGGATAATAGGACACATACACACACACATGTACATTAATTAATAAATGTACAACTTTATCGTACAAAATGTATTCGTCACACTTTTGTACACAAAGTTACTTTTTTGTGTACAAAACTGTAATGATTCTTGAATGTGTACAAAACGTGTCACGATATGTGGCGATGTCTTTAAAAAAATATATTCTTAGTACAATTTTATGTGTATAAAGATGTATTTAATATTGCAAATTTATTAAATATTTATATTAGTTATGAAAATAATTGTTTTTAATCATGCCATTCATGAAAGTACTTGAGAATGTTTGTAAAATCTCAAATCAATCTCTGTGATGATTTAAAGATATTATTAAAGACTTTTGCTTCTTAATTTATAATCTATTAGCTTTCCTCCCGCAGCTTCGCCCGCGTGGAGTTCGGTTATATCGCATTTCCAACCAAAAGTCTGGGATAAAAACTACCCTATGTTCTTTCTCAAGGTCAACTCTATGTCTGTACCAAATTTCATTAAACTCAGTTCTGTTGTTTAGGCGTGAGGGCGTAACAGACAGACAGACAGACAGAGTTACTTTCGCATTTATAATATTAGTAGGGTTCTAATCATATGACATTGATTTATCAAATTTCAACAAAAACAGTATTATCTATCGTAAATTTTAATGATATTTTGAATATTATCGTATTTCTACACAAAATCTTCAATCAAAATGTTGTTTGTTCATATATGTATTATTCGTTAGCTGCTGTTATGGGCGAATCCGGTGAGAAGAGAAAACGGGGTCGACCTCGAGTTGACAAGACGGCGCCGGAGTACCTCGCGAGGAAACGCGCGAGGGAGATTGGTGAGTTATCTTTATATATATATATATATATATATATATATATATATATATATATATAATTCTTCTGTGATTGTGTATGTCACTGAACTTCTCTCGCACGACCGGACCGATTTTATCAAATTTTCAAGGTTCAAGGGTCAAGGTTCAAGGGGATCTGGGAATGGTTTAGATTCACAATTTTGTCCGCTGGACAATTTTTTAAAATTAATTTTTAATTTATTAGTAGTTGATGATACAAACGCTTTTTTTGACATTAGATTTGACAACTAACTAATTTATCAATCATTCTGTCGCACTTAAAAACACGGAGACTTATGGCTTTAATAGGTAAACTCCAAAAATATAAATAAAAAAACGTAACATATATTTCTTGATTATAGGGCGATATATACAGGGTGACTGGTGAATTACTATCAATATTTAAGGAGAATACTCTGTACATGATTCTCATTCGAATTATGTAAAAAAAATAGGCACTTAATTTTTGACAAAATTTCCGTATAAATAAATAAAGTGTTGACACGTTCCAAATGTTCAAGTGTGGACGCGTGTGGCGGCGTGCTGATACAACACCACGTCACGACACGCGTATGTGTGAGTGTGAGTGTATACCTTATCTGTAGGGTGTTCACACGATGCGTAATTAATTACATAACTTTTGGTTAACTTTACTTAGAAGTTTATTAATATTTATGTTATATTAATTTTTATTTTGTCATATATGATCGTCAAATATCACGTCCTAAAGTATTGATAGTAATTCACCAGTCACCCTGTATATGGCTGTGTATCTGTGTGTATGTCTGTACGTCACTTACTCTAGTAAGTCATCCTCGTAACATATGGCTCGTTCATCATATTACATCAGTGTATTTCAGATCAGTAAATTCCAAGTTCAGATGAAATCCATAAACTTTGAAATGATTCGACCTTTGACATGAATTTTGAAAGTAGGCGTACATTTCATAGAAAAAAAACAGTTTGTTGTATTATTGTGTGTAGAGCTGGGATATTAGGCGAGTGTATTGAATAATGTAATATGATATTTTACAATTTGAACCTAGTTTGTTTTACTGGTTTGCTTATTATAATGTATGCTCATTTATTTCATCATCATCCTATCAGAGCCCACTGCTGAGCAAAAGCCTCTTCTCACATGGAGAAGGCTTGAGCATTAATCACCATTAATTATGCTCATGTATATATATATCAGTGGTGGCCTAGTGGTTAAAAGGTCCGCCTCTCATGCATGAGGGTGCGGGTTCGATCCTGGCAAGTACCTATGTGATGTTCCCGAGTTATAAGTTTGTAATCACCAACCCGTCTTGAGATAGTGTGGTGATTAATGCTCCAACCTTCTCCATAAGAGAAAGAAGCCTTTGCTCAGAAGTGGGTGTCTGATAGGATGATGACTGATATAATATGTGCGTTCTAAAATATCTTTATATTTGAGAACTCTATAGAAATATCTTATGTATGTAATGTTTATTTTGTTATAATAATGAATAATTAGTTTAATCAAATAATTTGTCGTCAGAAGCCTTGGAGAAGAAAGCGAAGAAGGAATACAGGAGACGAACTACTGGGGGTGAGTTATATTTACAATACATATAAGTGTATTAAATTATATTTGTACACAAGTGTATTAAAATGTATACGTGTATTTATACATAATAGTGTATTGAACGATAAGTGTACACAAATAGAAGATCTGTTGTCCGATTTAATCGGATTCGTAATAGGTCCTAATGATAATCGAATATTCATACAAATAATTCGTACTCTAAATAAGCTAAAATGTATAGAGATTTTAAAAAATGACAAAAATATTCAACGAACATTGTTTCTATCAGCGAAAGTTACGAAATCGAATACAGGGACGCGCGTTAAAGCGATAGCCGCTAGTAAAATAAGCGTGAGAAAGATGTCGTCCAAAATGGCTTCCAAGATGGCGGTGAGGAACGTTGATAAAAAAATCGTTATACGGAGGAAAACGAAATTTATGAAAGTTAAAGGTAAATTGTTATTGGTGCATGATGTTAGTTGACTGAGATCTTGTAGGTGATGGAGCTTTGCAGCATGATAGTCGTTTTCAGTCGTTTAGAGTTGTTTATAGTTGTTAAAAGTCGTTGACAGTCGTTGACAGTTGTTAACAGTTGTTGACAGTTGTTGACAGTTGTTGACAGTTGTTAACAGTTGTTGACAGTTGTTGACAGTTGTTGGCAGTTGTCGACAGTTGTTAAAAGTCGTTTAGAGTTAGTCTTTTGTTTTCATGCTTTGGTGTTGCCTTGTAGGCGGCATGAAGACTATTTCAGACAAATTATATTTATTTAAAAAATAAAGCTGATCAAATAAAGATAGCTTTTATTAAAGTGCTAAATAGTGATTCTTTCGGCTTAGTCATTAATTTTTTATGTAGGGCTTATTTTCTTTAATTAAAAGTACTGAAATATATACATATGTATATATTTGGTTCTAGATAGTTTAATAAAATTAAAAATTAGTACGATACAAGTACACAAAATACTATATCTAAAATATAATCCAGGTTTTTATAGTTTAGTGATCCATATTTAGGAATAGTAACTAAAATTGTACATGAAATAAAGGGATTTAATTAAAAGTAATACAAAAAAATACTTATGTTATTCTTGAAATTTTAGTACAATGTTAAGTTTTTTCCTCTAAAGATTCAAAAGAGTGGTAAACTATCTTTGTTTTTTCTACACATTCACTTAAATACGGCCTGCAAACAAATAATTTTGATATAAATTTACATATATATGTCAATTCGTATATGTTTCTCAGCTCCCTTATATTTTTTCGTGATTTTTACGTTTTTTTTCAAGTCAGCATGGTAGTTTTGGAACAAATAAAATGTTTCATTTCTATTCTCCTCATCTCCGTAATTTCGATTCAATATCGCTATGAAAATATGGATTTTTTTAAATGCATGCATATTTAGATATATTTACCTTAAATAGTACTATTATAAAATGATTTCCAAATAATATTTGTTTAATTAAATTTTCGTTCCACTGATTTACAATGTACACGTCAAAGTTATTTTGTAGAATTTTACTTTTTTGTACACGATCTAATTTTTTTCTTTCTGAGAGATCTGATGTTTTTTACACGTTAAAGATTGTTTTGTCTCATCAATGCGAGTAATACACAGTTGTGTATTAGTTTATATCGTATTGTACACCGATGCAATAATTTTTTTATTGTACGTGGAAGTAATTTTTTCAAGGTCGAATTTCATTTGTACACAAAAAAGGAATACGTGTCTTAATCGTCAGTTATTTTAATTTTTGTCATGCTTAAAATTTTCATTGTTAGTTAGTTGAATTTTTGTGGATTATTTTACTTAAAAACAATTTTTTGTGGAATTTTATTTGTACTTAGAATTTTATGTAGCTTTTAAATAAGATTTAGTTTATAAGACATAAAACAAAGTCTGAAATTGTTCTTCTTTTTCGTAAAAATGTATATAAAATTACAATTTATTGGTCTGAACCGATTTTGGTAAAGTGATTTTGAATTCAATACATTTTTCTGTGAATATAGATTCAAACAAATATCAAAGGATTTATAGTAATGGCAACAGTTTTTTAACAATACATAATAAATATATAACAAAATGTTCTATAAAAATATGCGATTAATCCTCAAATATATAACAATATATACCATATATGTTTTTTTATATATAAATGCTTTAAATATATATATGTGAATAGATTCAGCTGCATCATCATCGGCTGGTGAATCAACGCCTCGCGTGAAACGCAAGTACACAAAACGAGCTCCCGGCAAAAAGGAATCAGTAAGTCGTCTATATATAAAAGCTAAGCTTTCCGCCCGCGTGGAGTTCGGTTATATAGCGTTTCCAAGAGAACCTTTCAAAAGTCTGGGATAAAAACTATCCTATGTTCTTTCTCAAGGTCAACTCTATCTCTGTACCAAATTTCATGAAAATCAGTTCCGTGGTTTAGGCGTGAAAGCTTAACAGACAGACAGACAAACAGAGTTACTTTCGCATTTATAATATTAGTAGTTATTAATCCCAAAATGTTCCCAAAGAGGGTTGATGTCAGGCAGGCGGCCGGTCGTAAAAACAATTAGTCAAAACTTATCACAACATGTAAGGCAGATCCTGGCTATAGCTGGGATATTGCCAGGTAGAAGATATATAAAAATGAATCCCTTTTTTCCTTGGTCACGGCATCACGTGAATGGCTGGACCGATTTCACTAATACTTTTTATTGTATTTGTTATTATTGGGAGAAGGTTCTTATGCAAGAAAAAAATATAAAAATTAGTATGTACAATATTTCACTTTTTTTTATAAAATAATGTGTCATTCGCAGTAATATTCACGTAGTTGTCATTAAACCAAAGGAAAAATTAAAACAAATTTACATGCTTTTAAATATGAGTTATAATAACAAAATACCTATATAATTTATTAACCATTTCTTAGTGTACTTATCACATTGGTTTCTACAGGTTAATTTGTAGTTTAACAGATATTGTGTCTTATTTGATGCTGCTTTCGTATATAAGTAGGTTATGAATAAGAGAAATATAGTCGATTTTATTTGCAAAAGTATTGATAATGATTTTTGTAAAGTTTTAATGGAAAAATAAAAAATCGGAAAAATATTGAAACCGATACTTATATTTACTTATGTTTACTCATCATTCTTTAATATTTTTTTCATTTTTCTTTCATATAGTCTTCAAATCCCGAGCGGGTTAAAGGAAAACGCGGTAGACCGAGAAAGAACGATCCAAAGCAACAAGGAAGTAAGTTAAAACGTTTTCCAACTATAATACTAACGTCTTCTCGAAAGACCGTATATAAATAGACTGAAACATAAAATGCTGAATCGAAACTCTGTCTACTCAATAGACCATGTTGTAATCAAATTTTATGGTCTATTATATGGAAAATTGTATCTTTTAAAAATTATAGTATTGTCTGTTATATATTGTTTGCATTGCCATATTATAATAATAAATTTCTACTGATAGACCGTGGTCTTTCCAAATTATATACCAAATAATTAACAAAGTAGTATTTTACAACAGATGTAGTAAATGTTATTATCAAAATAATATAGTATTTATCATATCATAAGGTAAGGTCTACTGGATAGACCTTTAATTCTTTTGATGATATGCAGAAATTCGGGTCCGCAGTAACTTGATGCCTTCGAACGAGCCAATCACACTCGACAGTGACGACGAACCGGACTTGGGTGAGTGGTTATTTAATGATATCATTATCATATCATTGACATCGTTATCATATCATGTTATCATTTCTGCAGGCTCCCCAAGTCAGGCTTCGGATTCCCTGAGTATGGATGAAAATTTAAGAGCATTGCGTCACATACACGAGAAATACGCGAATATACATAAGGTATGTGAAATATATAATATATTGTAAGATTGGTCTATTTAAAAGACCAAGGACTACGTAAAAGAACATAGACAGTAGCCCGTTTAAGAGACCAATCCTTTATGGAAACTATATTCTGCTAATAATGTTTTCTTGAACTCTTGCTTAAGGCAAGGTCTACTTTGTTTAATTATTTTAAGGTCTTCTCGAAAGATCATGTTCTACTGGAAAGACCGGTATATTAAGTATATTCTTTCAGGACGATCTGTACGAGGCCCATTTACTTGCTGCGAATTTCAAACAGCCAGATGCGAGGGGTGACGATGACGTGCTATCAGTAGCTAGTTCAGATGGTACGTACATTCTACTACTATATTATATTCTACTACGTATACTTTGAATGTTTGTTTATTACTTTACACGGTAAAACTACTAAATATGTATTGAAAGTATGTGTAAGATATAATATCGTGATTTAGATGACATAAATTTAAAGATTAATATGTTTCTCTGTAAGAAAAGTAACGATATTTAAAAATATTAATTTACAAAGCGGATTCCAATATCATAATTATATTAAATATGGATTATTTTACAAGTTCTCTTCTTGGCAACAGTTTTGTTATATGTTATACATTTGAAAATTAACCACAGATAATAAAATGTGGTGTTTGTCATATACAAATACATATATATAAGTAAATTTCAAGAACTACTATCATATATAAACTTTGAAATATTTAAATTTCAGGCAGCGCGTCAGTAAAAGAATTAGGTACAAGAGTAGAAAAATTGGAGGATAGTTCGAATTCCGAGTCCGGCAGTAGCAGCTCGGAATCAGGTAATGACGGTCTACTCGTCTACTCAGAAGACCGATGTCAATATGATATGTTATATGTACATACTAGAAGACTCCGCGAACTTCGTATCGCCCTATAATCAAGAAATATGTTTTACGTTTTTTTATTTATATTTTTGGAGTCTACTTATTAAAGCCATAAATCTCCGTATTTTGAAGTGCGACAGAATGATTGACATATAAGTTAGTTGTCAAATCTAATGTCAAAAAAGAAACGTTTGTATCAACAATTACTACTAATAAATTAGTAGTTCAGAGACATACACACTCACAGAAGAATTATATATACAGGGTGACTGGTGAATTACTATCAATATTTAAGGAAAATACTCGGTACATGATTCTCATTCGAATTATGTAAAAAAAATAGGCACTTAATTTTTGACAAAATTTCCGTATAAATAAATAAAGTGTTGACACGTTCCAAGTGTTCCAAGTGTGGACGCGTACGGCGGCGTGCTGATACAACAACACGCCGCCGCACGAGTATGTGTGTGTGAGTGTATACCAAATCTGTAGGGTGTGCACAAGATGCGTAATTAATTACATAACTTTTGGTTAACTTTACTTAGAAGTTTATTAATATTTATGTTGTATTAATTTTTATTTCGTCATATATGATCGTCAAATATCACGTCCTCAAGTATCGATAGTAATTCACCAGTCACCCTGTATAAAGATTAACATGGCTTACTATATATATTATGATCAACAGATAGTAGTAGTTCTTCGTCGTCCAGCTCGTCGGAAAGTTCACATTCGTCGGACTCGTCGGATTCAGACGAAGAAGAGAAGCCTAACAGCAGCGTACATGATGACAGGTGATATATACATATATCCTACTAATATTATAATTGCGAAAGCTTGTGAGTGTGTGTATGTTTGTTACACCCTCACGCTGAAACGGCTGAACCGATTTTGATGAAATTTTGTATATAAGAAGCTGACGTCCAGGATTATAACATAGGCTTTACATGCCGGAAATCTCGGATATACATATAATAGACCGGCGGGGCGCAGCTAGTATATGTACACCTTGCCTTTGTCGGATGATTTAACGGCAAGACGCCGTAAATTAATAACTTACTAAAAATACATGCGTTAAATAGTACATTTCATCTGACGTTTATTATTTTCCGAGAGTTGATCAACTACCTAGAAAATTGATCAACTTACGAGTCTTGTTATTTTCCGGTGACATATATAACTTGCATCCCTATTCTTTATATATAATAAATATATGTTTTTTTATATATTTCCAGATCTTTCGGCGCTTGGTCTCACACACCGGAGTCGGACTCGGACCCCGAGCGCGGCGCGCCGGTCGCTCGGACCGATGATGATATCAGCGAGTCTGATAACGAATCAGCTGATAAGAGCTTCCCTTGTAGGGTCTGTGGGAAGTGGTACTCTACTAGAGTGACGCTCAAGTAAGCATACACACACACATATATATATATATACAGTAATACCCCGCTTTACGCGAGGGATACGTTCCGAAGAAAATCGCGTTAACTGAAATTCGCGTATATCGAGGTTTATGATTAAACACACGCAAAATTTAATACACAAATATAAAAATCATTTTAATCAATCACTTTAATTCTAAGAACACTATAAAATACATAGGTACTCCTATTTTTTTACGAAAAAGTACATGTATTGTCTTTTGGGTAGCGTTTTGTTTACGTTCTTGTAAAATACGTTCATAACACCAAACACAATGTACAATACAATACAATGTCTTACAATATATGTATATATATATCATTATTATTAATTCTCACACTAATATTTCCAGGATCCACGCTCGCGTGCATCAAAACAAAGGCGGCAGCGGGTCAAGATCGAGAGCTCGTTCTTCTGATAGATATGAGTGTGATTGTTGCAGCGAGACATTTAGCAGGAGAGAGAAGCTTTGGGAGCATAAGTTAGTATAGTCTAGACTAGTCTAGACTAGTAGTACTACTAGTTGTAGAGGTAGAGCCTAGCTATGGTCAAGTTACTACAGCTCGAACATGTTCTGTCTCGACCGTAAGTACTACCCTCTCACAGAAGATCGGCGTGAAGTAGTCTTTAATGGCTGCGTTTCGTCCGATGAGTGAGAGAGCTGGTTGCCCTTTTCCAATTTCCCACCCTTTCCTACCATTTCCTTATTCCCACCCCTTCCTATTACTAAAAGATAAGGTTGGCAACGCATCCATAACAAACATGTTGTGGATGTCCATTAACATAGGATAGCTTTCGCAGTGGTTTTAATGAGTATGAACCTGCCTAGGTTACACATCACTTCCGGCCCTTCCAAGGACGGTTGAAAGACTCGTAAAAAGAATTTCCCTGCCTCATCAAAAAAAAAAGATTGGTGGATTAATAGATTAGAACAAGGAGACGGACATAGGATATTTAATTCTGCTCGATCAAAAAAGAAATAGACTTCACCCTGTCAGCTATACATATATTACTAATGCCGAAATTAACGCGAACGAATACGCGGACAAAAACTAGGATATATATATATACTTAAAGATTTTTAAACATTAAAAGTAAAAAGAGTTTCTCTATGTCATCAAAAAAATAAACATAAGTCTAGATTAGTCTCGGTAATTCTTTAGAGACTTGTAGTCTGTTTGTCAGCATGGTTTAGGACTTAATGCTAAACAATTGAACAAAACTTATTAAACTTTAGTGATTGCATTTCTGTTAATGATAAATTAGTTTCTTTTAAATTATTGTGTTTTTGTACATAATATATGATATTTGGTTGCTTTTAAGCTTCATTTCAAGATTCGTTTGGGAATCACTGGGTTAAGACTTCTTCTCATACTTGAAGATTATTCATCTACTGAAAAACACAGTATAACTTTGTGACGCTTATATTTTCTTTGTCTTATCCTATTTATTCTTGTTGGGCCCGCAAGATTTATTTATCGTTCACTTTGGGAAACTCTGACCTTATCTTTGTTCTTCTTCCTGGCAATTTCCCAGCTTTAGCCAGGGTCTGCCTTATCTTTGTTCTATGTATATATAATATATAATTATTTATTCCAGGGCTGAGGCCCACCGCGGCGCCATGACGGTCCGTTGTGAGGTGTGTCGGCGATGCTTCGAGGATGACAACGAACTGGCTGCGCACGCGACCACACACACTAGCGATGACAGGATAGGTATGGTCGGGATACATGGGATACTTGGGATAGATGGGATACATACAAGATACCATAAGACTGGATGTATATTATATATCCCTACTAATATTATAAATGCGAAAGTAACTCTGTCTGTCTGTCTGTTACGCTTTCACGACTAAACCACTGAACTGATTTTAATTAAATTTGGTACAGACATAGAGTTGACCTTGAGAAGGAATATAGGATAGTTTTTATCTCAGACTTTTGAAAGGTTCTCTTGGAAACGCGATATAACCAAACTCCACGCGGGCGAAGCTGCGGGCGGAAAGATAGTAATATATATAGGCATTATTTGGTACTATCATGGAATATTCTTCATCGGTGATAAAATATTAAATAAATGTCTTTATACTATATTCCTATATGAATAGGATTTAAATTTAAAGCTGAAAAATGGGACTGGATATAGTTAAATTGTGCTCAAATTTCCATAAGAGAAGAGACCTTCGCTCAATAGTCTTAGGCTCATAAATATGATGATGATGATGAAAAGCTTTTTATGTCATTCTTAAAATTGTAAATATTATAGAATCGACTCACAACCTACTTTTCATCTATCCAGTAGTCTGACTATTGAGTTAAAAAGACATTTGTTTAACAATACAAGACGGATTAAACAATATATTTAGCACCTAACTAGATATGAGGGAAAGAGAGGGAAAATTGCTTTTATTATATTACACGGACACCTTAAATTTCCTTTAAAAGGAAGCAGCTGTTGCAAGGAATTTAATTCTGTAATCCTTAATCTAGAAGTAATAGGTTTAAAACCAGCATTCAAATATATCATGTGTTTTTGCACTCGCTGAAATAATACATTGAGTTCTATTTGAGTTAGATCCTCATTATGTTTTGAATATAATGAGATTAAATCTCTCATATTCGTGTGACTTGTGACCCAGGTGTATGTTTAAGGGACCCTATCTAACGTTAAACGATCACCTCCACCGTACAAGCTTCTCTCTCTACAAATAGTCCCATAGGTTCTATCCAGGTGTAGGTTTAATGATCCCAAGTATTTCCAGCTGTATAGTCACCTCCACATTCCAAGCTCCTATCTCCAACTATTTCCATCTCATCATTCAATGTATTCACGGTTCGTGTGTCGGGTCCATCGTTGTAGTGAGAGGAGCTTCAACAGTGACTGTGACTTGTGACCCAGGTGTAGGTTTAAGGGACCCCTATCTAACGTTAAACGCTCACCTCCACCGTACAAGCTCCTCTCTCTAACTATTCCATCTATATATTTCAGGTCGTTGTTCGGACTGCGGCTCATCGTTCGCGCGTTACGACCAGCTCCGCCGTCACCGCGCGTCTGTGCACGGCTCGTCCCCCGCGCGCCTGCCGCACGCGTGCGTCCAGTGCGGCAAGAGGTTCTCGCACGCGCACTCGCTGACCAGACACGCGCACAACCACGCCAAACAGCTGTATAGATGCGTGGTTTGTAAGGTATAAACACACAAACAGACATATATATATATACAGTGCAAACTCGATATAACAAATCGGAGGGGAACAAGAAAATATTCGTTATACCAAGTAATTTGTTGAACAGAGGTTTATTATGTTGAGGTAACGTTGATCTAAAATTCGTTATAAAAAGGTAAAATAATAGTTTAATTTGCCTCAACATTACGTAAATATCTTATTATAGCGAACAACTTCTACTAATAAATGATAACACATTTATATCAAATTACTACTGTTTACATTCAAACCACTTTCTTCTGAAAACTTATCTTTAAATTTTAACTTCTTTAAAGTCAATCTACTTGCAGGAATCCCGAACTTATTAGCTATGTCTAATTTTTTCGTCATAGGATTTTAGTCAACATAATTAATGATGTTTAGCTTTTCTGCGACCGATAAGGAACACCTTTTACGTTTCTAAGCCATTTTAACTTAAAACTTTAACAATAGTGACGAGCAGAAGTGTTTATATTACTTTTCATCAGACAACAACGATTACTTTATGAACAAAAGCGTGTCGAAACATATCATAATATAAGATTAAGATTTATATTATTGGTGGGAACTTTATATAAAGGTTTTGGGTTGACAAAATTCGTTAATTAGAGGTATGAATACTTTTTCTTGATTGTTGAAAATTCGTTATAAAGGGGTTGTTCGAAAAGAATGTTCGCAATGTAAAGGTATATTTTATATTAAATCTTATGGACAATTCAAGGGAATTACGAAAACTTCGTTCAATTGAGGAATTCGTATACTGAGGTACGTTATATTAAGGTTGCACTGTATAAAGTTAAAACATTATTTAGTCAGTGGTGTCCTAGTGGTTAAAGGCCCGCCTCTCATGCACAAGGACGCGGGTTCGATCCTGTCAAGTACAGATGTGATTGTTCCGAGTCATAGATATTTTATAAGAGTATTTAGACATCACTGATTAATGCATTCCCAAAGAGGATTGATGTCAGGCAGGCGGCCGGTCGTAAAAACGATTAGCTACAACTATTCACAACATGTAAGGCAGACCCTGGCTAAAACTGGGAAATTGCCAGGTAGAAGATAGTTCTCGTGTACCACAACCACATTTTTATAGTAAGCTAAGCTTTCATTCTCAAATAAATTAATAAGAATTTAAACCACTTCAAAATACTTTCTCTGGATTTTAATTATTGTAATATATATTAAAATGAGTGACGTAGTCAAGGATTCTTATAAAGCCAGGGTAAAGTCATATAAAGCCAGTACATAGTTATAAATAAATCAAACCTTATCTAGAACAAACTTATAACAAATTAATCTTAAACCAAAATATACTTGTTATTTTATACAATATTTTTGAAGGACTTAGAGGTTCTACAAGTATAGTTAATAATGTTCTAACTATACATATGTGTCTTCCTTCTATAATATATCTATATGTTCGCCCCCAGGCGTCGTTCGCCCGCGCCGACCAGCTGGCCCAGCACCTGAACAGTCACCTCGCAACCTACAAACGTATGAAGCAGTGAGCGCGCACAATATACATATATATACATATATATATAAATCTAATATAGAGTTTTATTTATATGTGACTTTCATTTATTCACCTTTTATCCTTTTGATGAACTTATATGTGTATTGGAAGAATTATAATAGTATTGATTTGATAATAATTGGTGATATTTAAGAGGTAGCAGGTTCGAAAGTTTAATTATGCTTTCCAAAAAAGGCAGTTTCATTGAAGTTATCCTTAGTTACAAAAAATTTTCGTCTCATAGTATTAGTTTTTTCAAAATCATGTAAGGAATTTTTAGAGTATTATAAGTCCCAACTGTACAATTATTTATTTAGAAAACAAAATAATATTCTGAAATAATTCAATCATAATATTAGGAGTGCATAAATCAAAACAAGTTGCTACAAAACGCTCCCACGCTGAGAAGTTTAATAACAGATCACAAGGAATCATAGCTTAGAGAACTTAGTTATCTATCGTACTTTAATAAAAATACAAGTATTAAACGCAAAAATCGAGAACTCCATAAGTTACCTAACAGCTTAGAATCAAGAACTTAAGAGGAAAATAGGACCTAGCGATAGACAAATTTATAGGGATTATATTGACTGCTGGAGGAAAAAATTGAGGATATGTGATTTGCGTAAGAAGCAATTACAAATTAGAAGTTACCAAAGGATATATATAGAGTAGGTAGCAGACAAAACAATAAATAAACTCCCTTATTATAGTTGAAATTATGTCCTACATCAAAAAATCTTTCTATCTAAATGAAAGGAGTACAACTTAGCTAACAAATTAAGTGCTAAACCTCACCTCATCTCATCTTCGTGACAGAAAACCTAACATATAAAGCGACCCGGCTCTGTTTCTTGGCACGAGATTTGCACCAAGAGTTAAGAGTTCTGCGCGGTGTTAGAAAAAGTGTTTTTACGTAAAAACAGAATTTTAGCTATAATTTTAATATCGTGAGGCGCAAATTCAGAGACTTTCAAGAAACCGGACTGGCATATAATCACTGCTTACACGTCTCTTAAGGGCTTTTTGGTTATAAGGGTTTTCTATATATCCTCACTTATTTGCTTTGTTAAAATACCTTATGCGTATTATGTACCAAATAATAGGACTTAACAAGTACTACCTCCGTACATACTATACCTAACTTAAACAATATATTAAAAAATAAATAAACCTCCACTAATCATTTTATATAATAAAAATAACACACAATACTATTACACATATACACAAAACTCCCAATCTAATAATAACATTTACTCCTTTCCCAATGTTTACAAAATTTACGTACAAATTGACACGACTCTCACAAATCTACGCCTTATAAAACATAATATGTCTATAATATTAAAACTCACATTGACTTCTATAAGTTGCACGAGCAAAGTAAATAAAGTAAATTATATGAACACAATCAGAATCATAAAAAGAGGTCTTAAGTACATTTCCAGTTAAAAGTTCTAGATAGGTACATTTATTTTGATAATCATTAATATATGTCAATTTCTCCAAAAATTTTAGTCATTTCGTAAAAATTTCAACAACACAAAGAAAATACTCTTTAATTAATGAGTTTCATTAAAATCCTATAAACTATGGGACGGCCGTCTGAAATAAAACACATATATATTTATTTTTTATTTATTTTTTTTATCTTGCATCTTATGATTATCATTAACACTATGTTATCCTATAGGTAGGTACGGAGTATTATGTGTTATGGCTACTTACATCCCAAATCTATCATTTTTTAAATAAGAACAGTTAAAATCAACAGACTCAAGTCCGGACGGAATATTCCCTTTCTTAAAGGAACATTCCTTCCGAACGAACAACAATTATTGTTTTCAAAAAACATAACCGGAAAATTTTACAAATAAAAAATTAACAAGCGAAGACTTAACATTTATTTAGCTCACTATTTCATTTAACTTACTAATATTACTAATCAATAATGATAACTCAACATAATGACAACGTAAATAAATTATACAGGGGGGATTTTAAAGTTTCATTTAATATCAGAATCTGTCAATAGACCTACACCCGCTACATCGCCACACTTTCATTTAACGACATTGACCGTCCTATTTTCCATTAGATCTCTTAATAATATGATATATGTAAAAGTCGCGTAAGGATAGATTTTTTTTTTATAATAATAAAAATACAAAAAGGGGAAAACATGTAAATCACTAACACTTCATGGTCATTTGAGTAAGTTCACGAGATCACAATATTCCAAAAAAAGCTCGGGTATACTAGTGAAAAATATACGCGCTGTTTGAAAATAAAACATCGAATCTAAGCCTACAACACCCATGGACGGCAGAAAATAGGAGGGGACAACGAAAAGGCGACGAAAAACTACTTTACGTGAGAAACAGAAAAAAACAACGAACTAGCGGTACCACAAATAAAACATCTACGACACCTATTGCATTATTATTGCTGTGTTTCATTTTACATTTGAAATAATAATTCACATTCATAATAGTTTCATTTGAAATGAAATATAAATGTAATGTTTATTTAAATGCAACTTCTGTTTGTATTCGAGACAGCGGCAGTTATGGAATATTTCACTGCTAATTACTGTGCGTAATTCAAAATCTTTTAGTTCATTAATTATTATTAATGTCAATTATTATTTCAAACATCATACAATATACCTTCATCGGTATTGTTAAGTCAAATACCATTCCGTGACAACGTACTAATCATTCTTATCCATGTTCTTAAAGACTTTAGTCCTAAATGTTCTAACAGCGGCTCTTTGAGCTTCTCGATATGCAGGTAATCCTAACATCTGCCATATATTTCAAAACCATACGCCGAGTCAAATTGACCTCAAATCACATTGTCACAGATCAAAAGAAAAACAAAACCATCTACAATACAACGAATGGATAAGACTCCATCATTACATATATCAAAAAATATTTTTCATTCTTGTGTTTCAAAACAATAGTCCTCAAGCACGCGAACTTTGGGATCATATACTACAAAACATCAAAAGTCTAGCATCTTCTAAAACAAAAGAATATAAAAATCTACTAGATTATTAAGAACAGAAAACATAGAGTAAAATTACGACTACCTCTACCTCCTCACAGCCTGGAATAATCCCGATTCTGTTATAACGAATTAGTAATAAATTTTTGGAAAACAAACCTCGTTTAATTTGACTTTTCACTTTTCTAATATACTGAACTACCTCATACGAAGTAGATATATTCTCTTTGGTCTATTCAAGGCTGTCAGAACATAATTTAGAATCGCTCTTAGAGGATTATTCGCTAAGTCTGATAATTAATTGGTGTTACATTTCATCGGATAGATGTTTTACATATAAAATGAAATATTCATAACAAAATAGTTTGGCACTTTATGTGTTCAGAATGGTACATCCAATGTGCTTACAGTCTTCGTTTTAATTTAAATCGACAATTATTAAAATATTGTAATTTATATTTAAATTTTTTTTGTGTATACAGTAAGGTAAATAAGATATTTTAAATGAACCCTAAAGGTAATTTTATTGGATTAGATAAATAATATAATGTTGAACATACCATTTCAAACACAATGCTACATAAAAAACAATATAGAAAGAAGATTATAAATTTGTATAGATAAGGCATTTTAAGTTTTTTTTTTCATTTAATATGAGAATGGATTACATATTATAACTCTACATTTAACATTTACGTCGAGGATTATAAAATATTTGGTGTTATTTGGGACTTAAAATTATATATTATATCTTAATTTCAATGGAATGGACAAACGATAAAACAAATGAAACGGAAATTATACATTTAAATGAAACTACACTTAAAATTTCATAGCCTATCTAAACGATATATGTTATTATTTTGCATAATAATAATTTTGTATATATATAAGTATATATATCCTTCGTTAATTCTTGCATTTTACCTAGCTAATGTATCAGTAATCCATGTTATAATGGATACTCATCGATATACTTAGCCTTTACGTCTATTTGCAACATATAAGCCGTACCTAGACTAGCCGTATCTTAACAGTAGCATATAACTATGTATATATTAAGAGGGAAGTATAGCAACAAGAAAAAGGCAACGACACGTATAAGCAACGGTCGGCGATCTCTAAAATTATTCATTACTTACTTAATCTAAGGATATATATCGCTTACTATATATTACTACTCAAGCAATTATAGGCAAAAAATGAATTCATTTTTTCATATAATCATATAAACCTAGAATATGTCGACTACAGCTAAATTTGACTATCTATCGTTCTTTTACTTCTGATACTATAAGATCATTCTGCCGTGGTTTAAATACATCGTTGTGCTTCTCACAAATTTGAAATAATCTCGATTTAATCATGGAAGATAAAGTATTTTTTACCACGGCGCAGATCACTCCCGATTGACCGATGAAGGAAATTGACTCGACAATTCGTCCTTAGCAGAAATTTAACATTAATATATTCTTATAATAGTTTTTCTAGCGATATGTTTCACAAGTTTTTTTTTTTACTACATGCTCAAATAATGACGCTTAATAGAAAAAAGAAACTACGGAGTTAAAGAATAACATCGTCAGTATACCAATATACAAAATACATCATTTACAAAATATTATATGACAGACGCGTCCTAGAATCGCCGTTTTTAAAAAGTTTCAAAAAAGACTGTAGTTTATACAACTACATTTTAATGTTGCCATTAAAAAAATACCCCATACGGGGTAAACACGAAGAAAGTAAATTAGTGAAAATAAATACAGCAAAAATTGTTTTTTTTCTTATCTTTTTCAAACGTAAAATTTAGACGCATTTATCCCACACATTCCTTTACACTCTACCTACAGTAAATGATTAAATATTCTTATGTACTAAGCAATAAATATTTTTTCTTTTCTTAACCGATAAATAAATCTAATATTTTGTTTTTTAATTATTATTTTTTTCGGTATTCTCAGTGATCTCCAATTCAATTTTACATTTAGACACAACCTTTTGTTATAATAATAAGTCGTGATTATTTTATCATACAGCTTTTGTTTGGCATTGTCCAAAAGAATTATTTAAAATCCTTTGTATAGCATCCATATATTATATATATCTTAATTCTCCCTAGCGTTCACGGCGGATATAAAATCTTAAAAAACATCTCACTCGCATTCTGTTGTCTACATTTTTCTAGACTCTCTATTTAAACATTGTTCCAAAAATCTACATATTTTTTTTTTCCACTAATCTTACGCTATACTTGTGCTGATGTTTTGGTACCGTCCTTGGTATTCCACAAACGAAAAAACAAAAAGTCACACTAATTTCGCAACCGGTTTTGGCCCGCGTGTGTCAGTTTATCTTAAAACTAACTTATCCAATAATAACTATATATCTTTTAAAAATTACCTTATAATAACGCATTCATAAGCAGCAGTAGAAATAAGTTTTCGTTTGAGTGACTCACATTTTATCGTTAATATCTCGCATGCTCTTTACTAAGGCCAACACTCGCCCCTGCTAGTCCCGAAAATAATTTATCAGACAATCCATTGAAACGAAAAAATTAACTAAATCGTGTCAAAGTCTTGTAGAGATAGAGTTTCAATGGATTGTCCGAAATTATTGAAGCTTAATAAATAAAATTCATTGACTAATAATAATTAACTAGAAAGTAAAGACTAGATGTATGACTAGAAATTAAAAGGGCGAAAGTTAACAGGTTCATGTGTATTCGTGACAGCAGCAGAGGTCGCGGGGTCGTTGGCCTCACACGAGCAGACTCGGCGCCAGCCACTCATCTTCACCGATCTGAAAAAAAATTGGTTGTTTGTAAAGTAGGTTTACGATCGAGATGTTTACGTGATAACGTCTTATTGGTGATAACGAAAACTTAACCGCACGAGAAAATCTCCATTCGTTTGTATGCCGCTAGAGTGAGAGAGACGGAAGATCGGTCCACTCACTCGAACGCTATGCCTGCCTCCGCTCGTGAGGATTCCGCGTGACAAGTTTCACGGATTGACTGGCAGCGCTCGAGATAAGACGGGAGATCGGTCCGTCTCTCTCTCGTTATACCTGCGATCGCGCTCGTGAGGTTTTGGTGTGACACAAGTTTCTGAACATGTCACCCGACTAAAACGATTTTAAAGACGTTATCACGTCAAAAAACATAGTATCGTCTAAAAAACATTATTTTATGTGTATACATTTAAGATATAAATCTATATACAGTAGAAACTCGATTATCCGACTCGATAGAATGTCAAAGCGTAAGAGAATGGTGTTGTTGAGAGTGACGTACGTCAAATGACAATTATCAAATATTTAAAGCGAATTGAACTTATTATTTTAATTGAAAACTGCCAAATATATATTGTAATTTATTTCATGATTAAATCTGCAGTTTTTAGTACATACAAGTAAGTATATGTATGTATGTGTAATCTAAGAAAATGTATCCTTTAATTATTTATTAATAAACTTTGATTATTGTTGTTATGACTTAGTCAGTGGTGGCCTAGTGATTAAGAGGCTCGCCTCTCATGCATGAGGGCGCGAGTTCTATCCTGGCCTGGGCAAATACCAAATAAAAAAATAAAAACAAAAAATTTCGTTCGAAAAAAAAATAATTAAGGGTGAATAACCCTTATGACTTATTGGTATGAAAAATAGATGTTGGCCGATTCTCAGAGCTACTCAATATGCTCACAACTTCATGCAAATCGTTCCAGCCGTTTCTTAATTCTCTGTCTAACACCGCGACACGAGAATTTTATATGAGATAATAACTTTAAATGTTCAAATTTTTTGACTCTGAACGGCTTAGGATGTACATAAAATGTATATTAACATAAAATATTGAACTTTAAGAGGGGATTTTTGATTTTGATATAATGATAACTGAAAACTGAATCTATACTGACGGGCTGGACTTGAAAGTGCTGTACGGGGTAATGCAGCACTTGAGGCGGCTGGGACATTGCAGCAACTCCACCAACGCCGCCCACTCCGCCCACACCGCCCACGCCACCGACACCGCCCACGCCTCCACCAAGCGCCCATGGCAATTGTACACCGCCCATGCTGGAATTATCATCAATTTTAACATGTATTTGGAATATTTTGACTGTGTATTTGTAGTTTACTTCTACATATTCCATATGTTTTGACAGTATTTTCAGTTTAATTCTATTCCACATGTGTGATTTTTCATACAGTATGAAGAATGCATTATATTTAATTTTTTGAGCAGATCAAAAAAACTATTATCGCTTACTTTATGGAGATATTTTCTAGGTAACGTAATATTTTGATGAAGTATTTCTAGTATAGTTCTATTTCCATATGTATTATTTTTCTGATGCTTTGAAGAAAGTCTTCTATTAAATTTTTTGTGCAGATCAAAAAAACTATTATCGCTTACTTTATGAAGACATTTTCTAGAAGATCTTATATCTCAATAATATGATTAAAGGTATGAATATAGCTCCAAGTAAATGGAATAATATATCAGTCAAATGTTGTGTTCAATCATATTATATAATTTTGTTTGTTTTAAGATAAGTATTCTTGTCCGTAAGACCAAAATAAATTTAATACAATAAAATAACATATTATGGACATAATATCCATACATTTAAGTTAAATAAATCGAGATCAAAAATTGGTCAAAAAATATTAACTACTAGTTTTTGCCCGCGACTTCGTCCGCGTTAATTTCGTCATTAGTATTATAGGTATAGCTGACCGGGCGAACTCTATTCCGTCTTCAATAACCCGGTATTGGTATTTATTAAATTTCTACTGTTTCAATCGAACAGAATGATTGACATATTAGTTGTCAAGTCTAATGTCAAAAAAATCGTTTGTATGGGAAATGGAAAAGGACTGTTTTTAGGGTTTTCCCGGCAATTTTTCCAATTTTTCTCACCTTTTAAACCTTTCCTGAACTTCCAGGAGTATTTCAAGACTAAAATTAGCCAAATCGTTTCAGCCGTTCTCGAGTTTTAGCGAGACTAAGGAACAGCAATCCATTTTTATATATATAGAAGATAGAAGATAGCAATTTTATGACTATCTGTAGTTTAAACAAAAATGATTCCCAAAGCGGGTTGATGTCAGGCAGGTTGTAAAAACAATTATCCAAAAGTATTATACATGTAAGGCAGACCCTGGCTATAGCTGGGAAATTGCCAGGAAGAAAATGATATTGACATATTAAATTATAACAAACACAATTTATAAAAATATAGCATTTTAAAACTTTAAATTATATTGAAATGTTAAATTGTAATAATGTTATTAGTTATGTCAATTTTAGTGATTATTATGTAATGTTTTATTAATTTATTATTATTGTTTTTTAATTTAAATCTTGCTTTACTACAATTATTATATTTTGCATGATGTGATAGCTTACAATTAAAAGGACATCTAAGTTATTATTGATAGTTTGTTAATGTTATGAATGTATTAATGTTTTCTTAGTTTAACAGACTTACCCCATGTACTGTTGCTGGTAACCCGCGAACTGCCCAGCGTAGGAGTACCCTTGCACCCCTTGTACTCCTTGCAAGAACCCTCCCAGTTGTTGAGGGTAGGTATTATACCAATACGAAGGAGGTACACTACCAGGGTATGCGCCGAATGGACTGTATGCAGTACCACCCAACTGAAATTTAAAGTTAACCTGCTTAACAACTATGCAGTTTGAGGGAGCGAAACTATACAGGGTGACTGGTGAATTACTATCAATACTTTAGGACGTGATATTTGACGATCATATATGACAAGATATAAATTAATATAACATAAATATTAATAAACTTCTAAGTAAAGTTAACCAAAAGTTATGTAATTAATTACGCATCGTGTGAGCACCCTACAGATTAGGTATACACACACACATACACACGTCGGCGGCGTGGTGTTGTATCAGCACGCCGCCGCACGCGTCCACACTTGGAACACTTGGAACGTATCCACACTTTATTTATTTATACGAAAATTTGGTCAAAAATTAAGTACCTATTTTTTTTACATAATTCGACTGAGAATCATTTACCGAGTATGCTCCTTAAATATTGATAGTAATTCACCAGTCACCCTGTATACAGTAATACCCCGTTTAACGCGACCCCGTTGTACACGGTTTCACTATAACGCGATTTTCAAAAATTTATTCAGATTTGGGACATTGCAGAGTATAGATAATAATGATGACCGTGTCTTGAACGTGTGTCAAACAATTAAAAACAGTGTTGGGTGTTATGAACTTATTTTACAAGAACGTAAACAAAACGCTATCCAAAAGACAATACATGTATTTTTTCGTAAAAAAATAGGAGTACCTATGTATTGTATAGTGTTCTTAGAATTAAAGTGATTGATTAAAAGCGCGTAAAGCGGGGTATTACTGTAATGGCTTGCTTGAGGAAGTTTTTTATAAGGAAATTATTGGGTTATTGTAGGGAGCATTTGGATTAACCGTTCTTGAGTTGTATGGTTCGTTGCTACTGTACTGAATTGTTGGTTGAATTAAATTATGTAATAGGTACATCTCATTCAAGTGAACATTGTATGTTCTTTATGAGAAATAAAATTATTTAACTACAACTTTTGTTCGATGTTTTCCTTCATCTGTCAGTGGTGTTAAATACTCTTATAAAATACATATGACTCGGAAAATAATATTGGTACTTGTCAGTATCGAACTCGCGACCTCTAGCATGAGCGGCGGGCCTTTTAACATTTAGGCCACCACGACAATTTTTTAAATAGGCTTCAAATATTAATAGAATACTATGTATATACACTCGAATTGATACATATATTATGTTCTATATTAGGTTACTCGAGATAATTACTCTAATTAATATATAAATACAAAAATACTTCAGTTAATAGCATTTATTCTTGTACTAGTTATCCAAAGAAACTCAATTTTATAAATTCTCAAGAATATGTCATATATAGCTTAGCCGTAAGACATAATTTAAAATAGTTAAAGTCTTCATAAATCAGCTGACAAACTATGAAGATGAGATCTAAGACTTTCGCACTTATTCATTTAAATGAAACTAATATTTTCGTATACTACACGTTATTATTTTTTGGACAGTGGAGGTGATCGTTTAACGTTAGATAGGGGTCCCTTAAACCTACACCTGGGTCACAAGTCCCAGTCACTGTTGAAGCTCCTCTCACTACAACGATGGACACGACACACGCACCGTGAATACATTGAATGATAAGAGGTGTCCTCTCACTATATACTACCGACGTTTTGGTTACTTTTACAGCAATGCTCACGAAGACGTGAGGGTACATAAAATAACGCGAAGTAAACCGAAAATATTAGTTTCATTTGAACAGTAAGGATCTTATAGATTTCTATTATAATACAACGTTTGCCACAAGATGGCGCTAGTTGTATCCATATTTTGATATTTACAACAATTTTCTTACCAGATTATCATATAAAGTTACTTTAAAATACTTATTACTTATTAATCATAGTAATTAATTGTTTTTTTATCTCTATATGCTCAGTTTAAGTAATTGTAGATTAATAAGTACGTCAAAATAAATATTTTCTTTCTTTATTAATTTATAAGTACGTCAAAAATATACTGTGATGTGGCACAGGAATCCTTTTCAAAAAACAATTTTTATATTTTGTTAAATACTGATATTGAATCAGTGGTGGGCTAGTGGTTAAAAGGTCCGCTTCTAATGCACGAGCGCACGGGTTCGATCCTGGCGAGTACCAATGTGTTGTTCCCGAGTCATATGTACTCTATAAGCGTATTTAGACATCACTGATTAATGCATTCCCAAAGATGGTTGATGTCAGGCGGATCGTAAAAACAATTAGCCAAAACTATAAACATGTAAGGCAGACCCTGGCTATAGCTGAGAAATTGCCGAGAAGACTGATATTCATAATTCTCACTATAAATACTATTTCTTTTTCAATTATTATGTCTCCTTTCAATACGCTGTATTTCAAATACACAGTCACAGTGAAATATTTTCTCATGTAGGATTTAATAACTGTACGTGTATTTGACATCTGCTGGAAATATGGAACAAAAACTAAAATAAATGTGGTTCATGATAAATAAAATATACGATTTTAGCAACAGTTATATCTTATATATAAAATTCTCGTGTCGCGGTGTTAGAGACTCCTAAACGTCTGGACTGATTTTGATGAAATTTTATTAGCATATTCTTCTTCTTCTACCTGGCAATTTCCCTGCTATGGCCAGGGTCTGCCTTACATGTTGTGAAAAGTTTTTGGCTATTTGTTTTTACGACCGGCCGCCTGCCTGACATCAACCCTCTTTGGGAATCAACATTAATCAGTGACGTCTAAATACTCTTAGAAAGTACATATGATAGCATATTATTCTTACTAAATAATTAAAATATTATTACATATAAAAAATTAATTCTTAAATATGGTATGAATCATCTAAAATACTAAGAAAATTACTAATTTATACATTTTAAAAGCAAGATGTTTCATTTCGTCCATTATAAAAATTTACATCGTAAAGGAAAACAGAAACAGAATATTAGAATTTAAATATTTTTTTCTATTTCTTCAACTTTGATGTTAAATAATATTAATATTTAATATAAATATTATTTAGTGTATCAGAGAGAATTATTTAGTAAAGCGATCGTATTTATTAATGCGCAGTGCGGTTAAACTTGCGTCTGTAAAGGATTTCATTGTTAACTGCGCAGTTTCATGTTTTAGTTTGTAACATTTATTTAAATCAATATTAAATTTATTTAAATACTGTATTAGTATCACTTATAATAATTATTGAATATAATCTCAGTTAAATCGAAGTATTTTTCGTATTTTAACAATCCTTATTAAACAACTAGCTGACCCGGCAAACGTTTTGTCATATAAAAAAATAGGGCTTGGTGATAAAAAGCAAAAAAAAATACGTTTGAAAATAAAATAATAATAATTAAGAACAATCCTTATGAGTTAGAGGTAAAAAATAGATGTTGGCCGATTCTCAGAGCTACTCAATATACTCACAAACTTTCATCAAAATCGGTCAAGCCGTTTCGGAGGAGTTCTCTGTCTAACACCGCGACACGAGAATTTTATATATATAGATATGTTATATGTTAATTGGTCATTAACTTTATAATCATACAAATGAATGAAGAAGAATCACTCCTAAATAAATATACAGCAGTTATTTTTAATTTAAATAACTAAATTTGGTTCAAATTAAACCAATATTGACGGTTTGATTTTACTAAATACGAAATACAAAATGAGGGTCGGAAAACAATGAGTGTATAACCCAAAAGGTTTAACAATGTTTTGTTAAAATTATTAATGTGTTTAAAAGGGATAATTAAAAAATTACATATGTATAGTGATTATAATTCGGGCTAAATATTATGTATATATGATAGAGAAAATTAATTTATTTTCCGTTGTCATAGTTGTAAACTGTAACTAAAATATTTTTTGTAATCTTCTTATATTTGACAGATCAGAAAGAAATGCTTGATAGATTTATTGTTTAAAATAAATATTAGTTTAAGAAAACTTAAAAAAACACGCTTGTAATTATTATTTATTTTATATTTTTAGTACGATTTATCACACTAGCCCTGTCCCTTTCACTCTCATAGAGGATCTATGAAAAGAATATATCAATCCTGGCGGCCCTAACAAGGATAATGGGAAATTATTAACGAATTATTGTATTGTCATTGGTTCTTGAGACATATGCAAAATTTCAAGTTAATCAGATGTTTAGAAACCGGTGAAAATCGTGCTCAAAGATTCCGTTACATACATACATAAATACATACAGCTCAAGCTAATATAAGCGTGTTAAAAATGTTAGGGAAATAATATGATCTAAGATTTTCGCGAGTTTTCATTTAAATAAAACTAATTTTTACCGGATTTAATACTCGTTTATAATTTCTTTTGATTTAATACTCCCGGTATCGGTTACTTTGCAACCGTTATCATTAAGACGAGATGAGAGTATGTAATTAAAATAATAAAATAAGACAGACAGACGAAACCTCTCATCATTCCATATATTCACGATGCGTGTGTCGGGTCCATCGTTGTAGTGAGAGGAGCTTCAACAGTGACTGGGACTTGTGACCCAGGTGTAGGTTTAAGGGGTCCCTATTTAACGCGCGTTAATGTAGGAAAATATTCGTTGTATTTAATTTGTGTTTAACTAAAATTTACCAAACGGAAATTTTCTGGTATACACTTTTTTATGAAGACCAAAACACTAGAGATAGGATGAAATTCCTTAATAATGTATCCGTGGTATATATCGATCCACTTCAAATTAATAGCTATTGAGCTATATTTGAAATTATACTTAGACCACAGACCAAAGCTACAAGAATCTCAAAAACCTATCCTTGCAAAAGTATTTCACGCTAGTCTTTAGCCAAAAGTGAATAATCAATAGCCTATAATGAATGCCTTTACCACCTAAATCTTCGTTTTTACCTCAAGGTACGATCGTAATAAAAATGCAACATAAATTTAAGCAAGCATATGTTAAAACAAATTTATAGTAAAATAAAATATAATAAATTCAAAGAAATACGATCTGTTGCCTCTGTTTCGTGTGAATAATAAAAATATACGCTTTCATAAATATAGGTCATTCTATTAATGTTTCAATTCATTCAAATACATTTAATGAATTCATATTTAAATATTCATTCAAATGTAACATTTAAATTAATAATCATATATATGAATGATGAGATAATTATAGGTTCTAATCTATTTGGTGTATATTTGAAGACTTTTCTTCTTCTATAACATTTATTTCACTTATAAAGTTATTAATATAAATCTTTTCTATCAGAACCCACTGCTGAAAGGCCTCTTCTCACATGGAGAAGGTTTGAGCATTAATCACCACGCTCGCTCAAGACGGGTTGGTGATTTCAAACTTATAATTTGAACCTATAAGTCTAGGTTTCTTCAAGATGTTTTAGGTCACCGCTACTTATATAAATATCTTTTATAATTACATTACAAAATATCGATATTAAGAAAAATCTTGAATATTAAGTGCAGAAATTCTAAAATATCACAAAATTTAACAAAAAAAACTTACATGTATGCAAATTCCAGTTATATATATGCCTATAATTCCATCAAAAACCATATTTCTGTTTCCTTATATAAAAAACTAATTATTTATTTAAAACACAATCTTTGCCTATCTATCTAGCTGGTTACAAAGAAAAACATTAATTGAACGAAGTTTCGCTCACATATACGTCTATAAGTTCATTTAAATTGAATAAACAGCTGTATGTGATTATAACTGCACAGAAAGATTATATTACCTGTGCACCCTGTGCATTATTCGGGTCCCCGGACTCCTTGCCCCAGGAACATTTCACAGGGGCGCCATTCACATCTGCGTTGTGCACAGCTACGATAGCGTGGGTCGCACTCTCTTTGGTGGAGAATCTAAATAATATTATTATACATTGTGTCATTAAACTCCATAAATAATGATAGTTTTGTCAAAGAAAACAAGGGATATATTTCATATGTTAGATAAAAAATACATATATATATCGGCGCTATCAGCTTTAACAACGGATCCGACATGAAAATAATTTGAGGCTGTCATCAATTATTACTAAAACTCATTAGTATTCATGATTATAGTTAAAAGTAAAACGAAATCAAAGATTGTTTAAAGGAGAATAGAACTATGTTTCAATCTTGTTATAAATATGACGTCTGAACTCACGACGGCAGAGTTCAGTGAGTGTGGACCTTATAAGAATGTGATTATGAAGAACCTTCGAGAATTAAAGAAAATTCAGAACAATTGAAGTTTCATTTTAAAATATCATGGAACGTATTAGAAGAAGTGACATTAGTATATAAGAAAATTCAATATCACAAATTCAAAAACACTTCCCGCTCTAAAAAATTTAGCTACAGAAGACCAAATTATTGTAAATCAAAATATGATATCAAGTTTAACTACTTTTTAGTGTTAAAAAGGAACCTTTCTGTTGTGTATGTATCTATACAATAGATATAATACACTGTCTCACGTACCCCACTAGAGGGGGCGGCATGCGCTCGGCAGTGTCACGACTAGCGTGGAGCAGAAACGTGCGTCGCTCTAGGCGGGGTAGTAGTGAGACAGGGACTAGTTATACTTACATAGAGGACCAGGGATCCTACACTATCAATAGAAAAGTCTCATACCTGATAAAAGCATATCCCTTATCCTTGAAGACGCGTATCTCCTGAATAGTCCCGAATGGCTGGAAGGTCTTCTGCATCAGTTCTTCAGTGAGACCGGCCGTGAGACCGCCGCAGTAGACCGTGCAATTGGTCGGCGAGCTTTGATTGTAAACCTCATCGAAGGTTAGCGGCTTTGAATTCACTGTAGACATGAAAAATACTATTTTAAGAATCTATTTAGTGATTTTTTAGATCAGGTTAGGTAGAGAGAGGAGCTTGTACGGTGGAGGTGATCGTTTAACGTTAGATAGGGTCCCTTAAACCTACACCTGGGTCACAAGTCCCAGTCACTGTTGAAGCTCCTCTCACTACAACGATGGACCCGACACACGCACCGTGAATACATGGAATGATGAGAGGTTTTGTCTCCATAGAAATGTAATACAACGAGTTAAAAAGAAATCAAATTTACGATATCATTATAAATTATTTCGTCATGCATTCAACTCTTTTGTATGGGATCCAATTAACTATCATCATCATCCTATCAGAGCCCACTGCTGAGCCTCTTCTCACATGGAGAAGGTTTGAGCATTAACCATCACGCTCGCTCAAGACGGATTGGTGATTTCAAACTTATAATTTTTTTGTAAGTCCAGGTTTCCTCACGACGTTTTCCTTCATCGTCTGTCATTGATGTCTCAATTAACCATACCCGATTATCAAAATATCTTAATTTAATTACGTATGACGTTTCAATTATTATTCATTGCTAAGTTATAAATCGCTGTACTTTTTCTACCTCACAGAGTGTAACGGACTTTTTGAAACGCCAGAAAGTTTGGTAGATTTTTTATTTAGTTATTCTTCTTTGATATATAAATCTCTATAATTTATGTTAGATAAAACCGTGTAGGATGTAATTTTATACGCGTCACAACATATGGATTTATACAGAAATACTACCTTAGAATTGATATGTAGAAAGAATTTTATAAATGTGCTCTTACCATTTTGTTATAATATAATCAAAAATGAGTGCAGTAAATACTATTAATTATAAATATAAAATACAATGAATTTAGTAATATACATAGTTTATCTATATTATATTAGAATTAATGACATATTTTTCATTCTGACTTATGTAATTCCAGAGAAAGTCTTATAAAATTATGATTTTCAATTCCTATATGTCCAAAAATACAACATGATAAATTAAGAACAGATTAATACTCTTCAAACTATTGGAAACTACTTATTTTAATTAACAATGAGATTTCACTACCGAATTATTAACAAAAGATGGAAGTGCCTACATTTTTACTAAGCGCTGCGCATATCTCTATTTCTTCCAACATATCTTCTTCCTGGCAATTTCCCAGCTTTAGCCAGGGTCTGCCTTACATTTTGTTAATAGTTTTGGCTAATTGTTTTTACGACCGGCCGCCTGCATGACATCAACCCTCTTTGGGAATGCATTAATCAGTGATGTCTAACTACTCTTTTAAAATACATATGACTCTGAAAAATCACGTTGGTACTTGCCAGGATTGAACCCGCGCCCTCATGCATGAGAGGCGGGCCTTTTAACCACTAGGACATCACTGATAATATCTTCCAACATATACGTATATATTATGAATCAAAGAATAAATTAGTTTGATACTTAGTGCCTTTAACTCACACCTCGTAAAATATTACCCCAAGTTTGAATACTACATACGAATGGTATAAAGTTTTAGATAAAGAAAATTAGAAAAAACTTGTGGTAACTTAATTCGTGTAAATTTTTTTTTGTATATCCACTATAGAGATGATTATTTAGGAAAATTATTGTTAAAATTGGTTTTTCAATGAAAAGTATTTATAAAATACTCGTTATATAAATAGTGATGGCATAAATAATGGCTTTAGTATTATTATTGATAGTCTGCTAATTATAACTTTTTACATAATTTATTGTATTGGTTTAAGCATTTAAACTTGAATTATTAGCTTTATTTTATTCGGAAGTCAAATAAATGATTGTATTGCCTAAAGTATATTGACGGAAATCAAATCAAATTCAATTTCCTACAATCTATTGATCCGAATTCGGCAAATCCTTATTTTATTTAGACTCCTCGATTCATTTGGTATGCTTAAATCTCTTTACTTTGTATAGCGGATATGTTATAAGTACATTTAAATGTACTTACTACATTTAAAAATAAAGATAATATAATTATTTGTATTCATCTGTTAAAAATCTATATATATAAAATTGAATTGCTGTTCCTTGGTCTCACTAAAACTCGAGAACGACTGAACGGATTTATGTTATCATAGTCTTGAAATGTTCGTGGAAGTTCAGGGAAGGTTTAAAAGCTGAAAATTTTTTATTAATTTCCGGGAAAACCCTAAAAACAGCGCTTTTTTATTTCCCATACAAACGGTTTTTTGACATTAGATTTGACAACTAACTAATATGTCAATCATTTTGTCGCACTTCAGAACACGGAGATTTATGTCTTAAAGGTAAACACCAAAAAATAAAAAAGACATAATTTATTTCTTGATTGAGGCAGTACGGAGTCTGCCGGGTCAGCTAGTAGACAATAATATTTTAGTTTCAGTTAAATTTAAATGATTGCAATATATGCTTAGATAAAGCTTATTAAATACTAGAAGACCTGGCGAACTTCGTATCGCCCTATAATCAAGAAATATCTATTACGTTTTTTTATTTATATTTTTGGAGTTTACCTGTAACCCATAAATCTCCGTGTTTTGAAGTGCGACAGAATGATTGACATATAAGTTAGTTGTCAAATCTAATGTCAAAAAAAAAACGTTTGTATGGGAAATAGAAAAGGGCTGTTTTTATGGTTTTCCCAGTAATGAATCAATTTTTTCAGCTTTTATACTTTCCCTGAACCTCCACGAACATTTCAAGACTATGATAAGATAAATCGGTTCAGCTGTACTCGAGTTTTAGCGAGACTAAGGAACAGCAATCCATTTATATATATATAGAAGAAGAAGATAAAGCTAATTAAATGTAGTAAATCAAAATGAATGTACATTCTTTTATAGAATACAAATTCATCAAAATTAAATGTAAATGTAGATTATAGATGATTATAGAAACGAATGATGTTTTTATGAAAGTCTGATAATGACCAGGAAGCTAGCCGACACCGGAACGCATTAGCGTTGAACGGAAATTACTCGGATTTTTGTGGATTTATAAGTTTTTTGTGTTTCATTTCTATTGTGTATTCTGTTTATCATGGAAATCGACAATTTATTAACGTATCGAGTAGAATTTTGGGTAAAAATTTGAGCAAAAGTTCCTAATTTTATTATTGGTAGTGTGAATGTAAAATTGATTCACGCGATTATGGTTTTTATGGTCATTGCATAAGAGCTATCATCATTTAATAACATTTCACATATAATAAAGCTACCTACCTACCCTACCAAGATCGTCAAACCTCAATTTATTTGTGAAAATTCTTAATAATATAAGTAAATTTTATTTTTTCAAATTATAGATTCAAATTTAATTCATTTAATATATGTGAATGTAAATGAAGATTATGAATGTAAGTTTATTTAAATATCATCAGCCTATCAGAGCCCACTGCTGAGCCTCTTCTCACATGGAGAAGGTTTGAGTATTAATCACCACGCTCGCTCAAGACGGGTTGGTGATTTCAAACTTATAATTTGATAAGTCCAGGTTTCCTCACGATGTTTTCCCTCAACAGTCAGTGTTGTCTAAATACTCTTATAAAGTACATATGACTCGGAAACACATTGGTACTTAAATGTACATATTTTTGTGTAATTACCTATATATTTCAATTCATCACACAAGATATATTTTGTCACACAAAGATAGGCTGGTATATTAATAATTTAATTTCAAATAAATTGTTCATTAAAGAAAGAAAAAAAACAAAATATTTTACTTTTGGAGAGTAATTTTGCTGTAGATTATTTTTTGTCTATTTTTATAGAATAACTAAGCATTAAAAGAGACAAGAATTTTTCTTATTTTTAATATAAAAACATATTTTTTTCTTCATATTACATTACTTAGAAATTAATTATCTGAATTACTTCATAAAATACAAGGAAACATAAAATAGAAATAAAAAGGTAATTATCTTAATGACCGCGGGTTATGTAGTAATGAGAAAAATTATAAATGAATTGTCTATTATCATTAAAAATATTAAGGCTATTTAATTAAGTCTTTATATATATACTAGCTTTCCGCCCGCAGCTTCGCCCGCGTGGAGTTCGGTTATATCGCGTTTCCAAGAGAACCTTACAAAAGTCTGGAATAAAAACTACCCTATGTTCTTTCTCAAGCTCAACTCTATGTCTGTACCAAATTTCATTAAAATCAGTTCAGTGGTTTAGGCGTGAAAGCGTAACAGACAGACGGACAAAGTTACTTTCGCATTTATAATATTAGTAGGGATTCCTGAAATTACTTATATATCTTAATATTATAACGTACATTCTTAGCAATTACTTCGATGGTAGCCCTAGTAGGTTCGTTTCAAATTTGGTAAAGAGGAGCTTGTACGGTGGAGGTGATCGTTTAACGTTAGATAGGGTCCCTTAAACCTACACCTGGGTCACAAGTCCCAGTCACCGTTGTAGCTCCTCTCACTACAACGATGGACCCGACACACGCACCGTGAATACATGGAATGATGAGAGGTTTCGTCTCTCTATATATATTAAACCTACACCTGGGTCACAAGTCCCAGTCACCGTTGAAGCTCCTCTCACTACAACGATGGACCCGACACACGCACCGTGAATACATGGAATGATGAGAGGTTTCGTCTCTCTATATATATTAAACCTACACCTGGGTCACAAGTCACAGTCACTGTTGAAGCTCCTCTCACTACAACGATGGACCCGACACACGCACCGTGAATACATGGAATGATGAGAGGTTTCGTCTCTCTATATATATTAAACCTACACCTGGGTCACAAGTCCCAGTCACCGTTGTAGCTCCTCTCACTACAACGATGGACCCGACACACGCACCGTGAATACATGGAATGATGAGAGGTTTCGTCTCTCTATATATATTAAACCTACACCTGGGTCACAAGTCCCAGTCACCGTTGTAGCTCCTCTCACTACAACGATGGACCCGACACACGCACCGTGAATACATGGAATGATGAGAGGTTTCGTCTCTCTATATATATTAAACCTACACCTGGGTCACAAGTCCCAGTCACCGTTGAAGCTCCTCTCACTACAACGATGGACCCGACACACGCACCGTGAATACATGGAATGATGAGAGGTTTCGTCTCTCTATATATATTAAACCTACACCTGGGTCACAAGTCACAGTCACTGTTGAAGCTCCTCTCACTACAACGATGGACCCGACACACGCACCGTGAATACATGGAATGATGAGAGGTTTCGTCTCTCTATATATATTAAACCTACACCTGGGTCACAAGTCCCAGTCACCGTTGTAGCTCCTCTCACTACAACGATGGACCCGACACACGCACCGTGAATACATGGAATGATGAGAGGTTTCGTCTCTCTATATATATTAAACCTACACCTGGGTCACAAGTCCCAGTCACCGTTGTAGCTCCTCTCACTACAACGATGGACCCGACACACGCACCGTGAATACATGGAATGATGAGAGGTTTCGTCTCTCTATATATATTAAACCTACACCTGGGTCACAAGTCCCAGTCACCGTTGAAGCTCCTCTCACTACAACGATGGACCCGACACACGCACCGTGAATACATGGAATGATGAGAGGTTTCGTCTCTCTATATATATTAAACCTACACCTGGGTCACAAGTCACAGTCACTGTTGAAGCTCCTCTCACTACAACGATGGACCCGACACACGCACCGTGAATACATGGAATGATGAGAGGTTTCGTCTCTCTATATATATTAAACCTACACCTGGGTCACAAGTCACAGTCACTGTTGAAGCTCCTCTCACTACAACGATGGACCCGACACACGCACCGTGAATACATGGAATGATGAGAGGTTTCGTCTCTCTATATATATTAAACCTACACCTGGGTCACAAGTCCCAGTCACCGTTGTAGCTCCTCTCACTACAACGATGGACCCGACACACGCACCGTGAATACATGGAATGATGAGAGGTTTCGTCTCTCTATATATATTAAACCTACACCTGGGTCACAAGTCCCAGTCACCGTTGTAGCTCCTCTCACTACAACGATGGACCCGACACACGCACCGTGAATACATGGAATGATGAGAGGTTTCGTCTCTCTATATATATTAAACCTACACCTGGGTCACAAGTCCCAGTCACCGTTGTAGCTCCTCTCACTACAACGATGGACCCGACACACGCACCGTGAATACATGGAATGATGAGAGGTTTCGTCTCTCTATATATATTAAACCTACACCTGGGTCACAAGTCCCAGTCACTGTTGAAGCTCCTCTCACTACAACGATGGACCCGACACACGCACCGTGAATACATGGAATGATGAGAGGTTTCGTCTCTCTATATATATTAAACCTACACCTGGGTCACAAGTCCCAGTCACCGTTGTAGCTCCTCTCACTACAACGATGGACCCGACACACGCACCGTGAATACATGGAATGATGAGAGGTTTCGTCTCTCTATATATATTAAACCTACACCTGGGTCACAAGTCCCAGTCACTGTTGAAGCTCCTCTCACTACAACGATGGACCCGACACACGCACCGTGAATACATGGAATGATGAGAGGTTTCGTCTCTCTATATATATTAAACCTACACCTGGGTCACAAGTCCCAGTCACCGTTGTAGCTCCTCTCACTACAACGATGGACCCGACACACGCACCGTGAATACATGGAATGATGAGAGGTTTCGTCTCTCTATATATATTAAACCTACACCTGGGTCACAAGTCCCAGTCACTGTTGAAGCTCCTCTCACTACAACGATGGACCCGACACACGCACCGTGAATACATGGAATGATGAGAGGTTTCGTCTCTCTATATATATTAAACCTACACCTGGGTCACAAGTCCCAGTCACTGTTGAAGCTCCTCTCACTACAACGATGGACCCGACACACGCACCGTGAATACATGGAATGATGAGAGGTTTCGTCTCTCTATATATATTAAACCTACACCTGGGTCACAAGTCCCAGTCACTGTTGAAGCTCCTCTCACTACAACGATGGACCCGACACACGCACCGTGAATACATGGAATGATGAGAGGTTTCGTCTCTCTATATATATTAAACCTACACCTGGGTCACAAGTCCCAGTCACTGTTGAAGCTCCTCTCACTACAACGATGGACCCGACACACGCACCGTGAATACATGGAATGATGAGAGGTATCCTCTCGTCTCTTTATGTATTTTTTATTTAAAAATACGTTATATGAATAATTGTTTTAATTTTTTGGCTCTGTCTATGAATTAATATTTATCTCTTTCTATCGCTACCTCTCTTTCTTAGTAAAAAGCCTTCCTAAATTCAATATCTATTAAGGCTTTTCTCTCTCATCTTTAAAACAGTTAAAGATATACATACTAGTGACATCTACCGTCTTTACCAATGTAATAATTTTGTAATTCATTATTCACAATTAAAAGAACTTTATACGAACAAAATTTTATTACAAACCTGTTTATTTCTTTTGAGTTTTTTAATTTATCTCTCGTCTTATCTTTTGATGTTATTTCAGCTATGAGATAAATTGATTAAGAAATAATAACTTTTATCATAAAAGATAACATTAAGAAATTGGTTTAAAAGAAAAACTTATTATCATCCTTAGAAAAAGCTACTAAAATTTCATATATATATATATAGGCAGACCCTGGCTTAAGCTGGGAAATCGCCAGGAAGAAGAAGATATATAAAAGGATATGATATCTCAAAAGTTCAAGCGATTATAACATAACGTTACAAAGATTATAGGTTTGAATCCTGGTTGTGTCAATTTTTTCATTCAATAATTTCTTATTTAATTTTTTATTTACTTAATTAACTTCTGTTCAATATATTTTTATAAACAATATAGTAATTGTAATATTTCTTTATCAACCTAGTTCATAAGTTCTGTTACAAATTAAAATAAATTATTTTTAAGTATATAAAAAATATTCTATTCAAAATGGCAATATTTAGCTGTTATTAATGTTTAAAAATTGTTTAAATGGACACACATATATGTATGGATAGATTATTATAGTTTTACAATCCTGTGTAAAAAGTATACGTAGATTATTTTTAAAAACCTAATATATTACAATTAAAATGCCTATCATCATCATCAGCCTATCAGAGCCCACTGCTGAGCCTCTTCTCACATGGAGAAGGTTAGAGCATTAATCACCACGCTCGCTCAAGACGGATTGGCGATTTCAAACTTATAATTGTGAAATCCATAAAGAAAATTGATTATAAAGCCCAGGTTTCCTCACGATGTTTTCCTTCATCAGTCAGTGGTGTTTACTCTTATAAAGTACATATGACTCGGAAGATTAGAGCATTAATCACCAATCGCTCAAGGCGGGTTAAAATATGTACCTATATATGTATTTATTTAAATGTAAGCATTAAATATTCTATTCAAAATGACCATCTTTGGCTGTTATAGAAGGTTAAAATCAGTTTTTATAGTATTTATGGCCAGACTAAGCTTCTAAGTTTTGTATTTGATAGATGACAGACAGACTTACATTCGTTTTTTGGTGCCGGTGGTTTCCTTGTGGCCCAGTTAGTTCGTATAGATCTCGAGCCCAACCATTGCCCGTTCATAGCAGTTATAGCTGACTCCGCCTCCTGTTGAGAAAATTATGAAATGGTTATTATTTTATAGCTTGGTTTGGTACAAATTGGAGTTTGGTTTTGTATCAAGCATACATGAGCCAAATAATTATTTTTCTAATTCTTTTTCTATAACTGTATTCAAGAGTAGGCAAGAGAATATCAGTTTGACATATTATTTGACATCTACCAACGATTTCATTAAAAGAAATACTTTTATTTGAACAACCAAGCACATGTACAAATCAACCAAGCACAAGTCTGAGTTAGGCACTTATTGTACATCAAAATCCATGTATTCATTATTGATATTAATAAAGTAATAATTTTCGTTTGTTGGGTTAATGTTCTTGTTTTAATTATACATTTAGATGATTATATACAAATTCACAAACATAATACATAAAATAAAAATTCTGGGTTGTTATTTTTTGTTTCTAAGAGTATTAAACATAAAAGAAAACGATATATGCTTAGTATAAGTCTGCAACTAAATACGTGGCGTTAAACGTCATCATTCAAGCATACTTTGATTTTCAAAAAAATCTAAATAGGACATTCTGTTTGCGTGTACCAAAATATTTTAAATTAAGAAAATATTGTGTCTTTAGATTGATCTTTTGAAGTTGGGATGCGAATTCCTTACTGAAAGTAATTTTTCACTAATTGAGATAAAATAACGTCATCATCATCAACCTATTAGAGCCCACTGCTGAGCAAAGGCCTCTTCTCACATGGAAAAAATTGCGTAAGCTTTACCTAAGGTACAAGAAATGAAAATATGTACTAATATTACATCTATTTGAAATCTGTTGCCCAAGATTATAGAATTAAATGGATTTCATGATTGAAATGAAAACTAAAAAACACAATTTATAGCAAACCGAACTAAAAACTGAATTAATCCTGGCGGCCCTAACAAGGATAATGGGAAATTGTTAACGAATTATTGTATTGTCATTGTTCCTTGAGACATATGCAAAGTTTCAAGTTAATCAGATGTTTAGAAACAGATAAAAATCGTGCTCAAAGACTCCGTTACATACATACATAATATAGGCAGACCCTGGCTAAAGCTGGGAAGTTGCCAGGAAGAAGAAGACATACATACAGCCCAAGATAACATAAGCGTGTTAAAATAAACAAAAAAGGATTCATCGGTTTTGTGAGATGTAGAAAAAAACTTATTTTAGTCTGAGGAAAACGGTAAAAGTTTTTGTGTCAAAGAACATTGAGCATGAATCTCGAGTGTTATCTTGTAGAATGGCAAAAGTTACTTAAATGACTGAGTTTAGTACGAGTTCACATTTAACCGACGAACTGTAAGTATCAACGTATTTGTTTTGATTATATGTATGCTTGAAATACTTCGTGTAACTACGAAAGCACTAAAATAGCTTAGTTTTATAAAGAAACTAATTTAAACGAGATTTAAATAAAAAAACATTAAATAATTTAATATATATACCTCCTTTTTTCTGTAAAGTTGGTTAAAAATATGTAAAAAAATACGACATAATTCAAATTTATGCTACCCATGCCCGCACTATATATGAAAAAAATAATAGCATACCTCGTATTTAAAAAGTATATACTCGTACAAATTCGATCAATACTACCATGTATTGGTTTACGAATGAAGAACTACATACTATCTGTTTTACCGTATTTTATCGTACTAAGGTATAGTATAAGGAGTTACAATTTTGTATGAATTATAAATGAAGATCGATTTCCATACATTGATTCCCACGTTAATAAATAATGAGGGACATATTGCAACGTTTAATTTGCTTAATTAATACATACATTTTCTTGGATAAAGTCATTTTTATGTAATGAAATTTTTTATATATTGAACATTCAACAACATTGTGCATATATTTTATTATAAATCGTTAGTTTTACATTAAAAATATTGTATTTATTGATTGTCACTGTTTAAATTAAATTTGTTTATAAATTACTCTTTATTGTGTATTTATTTCATTTCAGAAATCTAAGCTTATTAATCGAAGTTTGTTAAAAGTAAATATGAAGTAAAACTTATTGAAGTTTTTCATTTCCTTTCTTTATGTGTTACAGAGAATTTAGTTTTATATGAAGTCATCATCCTATCAGAGCCCACTGCTGAGTAAAGGTCTCTTCTCACATGGAGAAGGTAAGCATTAATCACTCTTGCTCAAGACGGGTTGGTGATTTCAAACTTATAATTTGTTAAGTCCGGGTTTAATCACGATATTTTCCTTCATCAGTCAGTGGTGTCTAAATACTCTTATAAAGTACATATGACTAAGAAATCACATTGGTGCTTGCCAGGATCGAACCCGCGCCCTCATGCGTCAGAGGCGGGCCCTTTAATCACTAGGGCACCACTATTTAGTTTTATATGAAGCGATATTGAAAAATCGATTTAAAAATGATCTAATTTGGATTTTATTTAAATTAAAATACTTACAGATTTCTTAAGGAAGGAGACGAAGCCGTATCCTTTGGATTTGAGGGTTTGGGGATCACGAACCACTCGGCAGTCCCTGAAAGAAGAATTGGTTATTAAAAAGAAGAAAGAATAACATAATTATTTTAATTATTCTAAGTTTGGCTGGAAGAATAAAATATAATAATTATAATATGTATGTTTTATGAATATTTAAACTGTGGCAAACTATTAAACTGTCGGTTTGATAGTTAAGTTGTTCTTTTGAAATAGTAATTAGGGTGATGGACAGATGCTGTAATTGGGATTTTATCTTAGTTATTTGATCTGACCCCTGAAGAGCCAGGGTTACAACTCAAGAAGTGTCCTAAAAATAGGTAAAGTTACATATTTTTTCCAAATATATATACTTATATTATACACTATCTTTCAGCCCACAGCTTCGCCCGCGTGGATTTCGATTATATCGCGTTTCCAAGAGAACCTTTCAAAAGTCTGGGATAATCACTATCCTATGTTCTTTCTCAAGGTCAACTCTATCTCTGTACCAAATTTCATTAAAATCAGTTCAGTGGTTTAGGCGTGAACGCGTAACAGAGAGACAGACAGAGCTACTTTCGCATTTATAATATTAGTACGGATATATCAAAAATATAGATTAGTTTCATTTTAAAATATAAGTTCATTTATTTCGTAATTCCAAAGATATATGAGTAACTTTCAAATAATTTTACATTAACAAACATTAGTTTGACAAATAAAAGTAAGTTATTTAGTACTAATAACTACTAGTACATGGTTTAACTCTGAAAAATCGTCGTAAGTTCATAAAATTTTCATCTATTCAGAAAATTTTCGTCTATTTTTCATTTCGCAAATTGCTAACGACTTTCGAACTTCGGTTATTTAGTCAATATTACGAAATTCCGCTAAAAGTTTATCGGTTACCCGATATTTTAAGCCAGAAGTATCATCAACTAAGCCACCATTTCATCTAATGGCTAATTTTGTAACAAAATGGTTGATACTTACTTTGTGTGTCCGATTTCTTTGGTGAAAGAAAGAATTTTATAATGTACAACGAATTTGAAGATATTTGGTCGGTTTCAGATTTTATTAAGGATATTTTATTTAAATTTTATTATTAACAAAATTTTGAACTATTTTATATCTTGTTACAAAGAGAAAGTTGTTTATGTTCAGAACTTACTCTAAATCAAACATATATTATATTTATATATACAGGGTGACTGGTGAATTACTATCAATATTTAAGGAGCATACTCGGTACACGATTCTCATTAGAATTATGTAAAAAAATAGGTACTTAATTTTTGACCAAATTTCCGTATAAATAAATAAAGAGTATAAAGTATCTTCTACCTGGCAATTTCCAGATTTAGCCAAGGTCTGCCTTATATGTTGTGAATAGTTTTAGTTAATTATTTTTACGACCGGCCGCCTGTCTAACATCAACCCTCTTTGGAAATGCATTAATCAGTGATGTCTAAATACTCCTAGAAAATACATACATATGACTTGGAAAAATCACATTGGTACTTGCCAGGATCGAACCCGCGCCCTCGTGCATGAGAGGCGGGCCTTTTAAAAACTAGGCCACCACTGACTTATAAATATATATCTAGTATATATATAGAAAATATTATAATAAATTGTATATATTTTTACTGTATGAGAGATTGGAACGTTTCTATTATGGTAATACAAAAAACGCTATTACTTATGGTTGCCATATTTCTAAATTAAATACGTGACTTGTCAAATAAAAAATATATTTTTCCTTGAACCTTCAGTTATTTTACGTAAAAGATATATTGCGGGTGAAAAATATGTTCAATTTAGTTAAATGTATAGCTTGTAATAAAAGTAATCCCTACTAATATTATAAATGCGAAAGTAACTCTGTCTGTCTGTCTGTTACGCTCTCACGCCTAAACCACTGAACAGATTTTAATGAAATTTGGTACAGAGATAGAGTTGACCGTGTGAAAGAACATAGGATAGTTTTTATCTCAGACTTTTGAAAGGTTCTCTTGGAAACGCGATATAACCGAACTCCACGCGGGCGAAGCTGCGGGCGGAAAGCTAGTAAGTATATATAAGTTGAAACTGACAAACTGTTGGTGTGTAGGTAATCGATGGAAATGTGTACTAAGGGTAGGTTTATTTTAAATCTCTGAATATATCTGATTATTAAATTTATCTTCAAAGAATGAAGTGTTTTTAAAATATATGTATAATAGTCAGTGGTGTCCTAGTGGTTTAAATGCCCGCCTATCATGCACGAGGGTGCAGGTTCGATCCTGGCAAGTACCAATGTCATGTTTCCGAGTCAAATGTACTTTATAATTCCAGACAAAGCTATGAGAGTTATGTTCAATATTCCTAAATGCATTCATAACAAATAAATACTGCATTATCTGGGCCTTAACATAGTGAAGTAAGAAATTTCTTCACGTAGTCTAAAATATCAACAAAAATTAACAAGTCACTTTAATGATCTAGCTGCTAGGCTAAAGGATTCTGGAGGTAATATTTACACAAGACTGAAAAAGAACAGTACTCCAAATCTAATAAAAATTTTCCCAAAAGAAAAGAGAAGGTTGAATAAATTCCCAGACATGGCTCAAATAACGAATCAGCTAAATGTTTATGACAGATTGCTGTGCTAAGCAGGAATTAAACGAGGAAAAAATGTACTTTATAAGAGTATTTAGACATCACTGATTAATGCATTCCCAAAGAGGGTTGATGTCAGACAGGCGGATCGTAAAAACAATTAGCTAAAACTATTCACAACATTTAAGACAGACCCTGGCTAAAGGGAAATTGCCAGGTAGAAGATGTATAATAGTATATATTAATAATATATAATAGTTATTATATATGAAAACTAAATAATTCAATTGTAACAGTTTAGTTTTTTCGTGGTTTTTATTTAAGCAGCGATCCACATTTTCTTTCCAAGTTGAATCTATTCCAAATCTTTGATGTAAAGATCTTTTTTTATTCGCCAGTTCTGACATTGAAATGTAGATTTTTTTCTATAATTTCTATTTTAATACCTACTCTTTAATAAATTTAAAGTATTTAGGATTTTTTAATTTAAAAAGAGACCTTATTATTAATTTAATTGAAAAATAATACCTACATATTATGTTTTACAATAATTGACGTATAATTTTAAAAGTTCAAATAACGCCATTTTATGTAAAGCATAATAAAATTGTTAAATATGATTTTATTTAAAATTTATATCATACTAGCTTTCCGCCCGCAGCTTCGTCCGCGTGGAGTTCGGTTGTATAGCGTTTCCAAGAGAACCTTTCAAAAGTCTGGGATAAAAACTATCCTATATTCTTTCTCAAGATCAACTCTATCTCTGTACCAAATTTCATTAAAATCAGTTCAGTGGTTTAGTCATGAAAGCGTAACAGACAGACAGAGTTACTTTCGCATTTATAATATTAAGTAGGGATACTTTTATTTATTATTGTTGTAGATTAATTACGAAAATTTGATTTTCGTGGTAATTTCTTATATTATTTTAGATTTTCTCATAATTACTATTTATTATATATGTACCTATATGTATGTAAAACATAATCCTTATTTTCTCAGTCGGATAAAAACTAAAGTTGCCTCCAAAGAATCATGGATACATTTCAGATTTGGGAATAGTTTTTTTGGGAACGTAATGTCTTCGTGCCACAAAGTCTGACTGACGTTATACTTATGAAAGAATTTGGCAAGACTTAAAGTTAGTGTGCCATTTTCAGCGGAAAATATTTAAGTTATAAAAAAACTTATAATTATATTCATATATATTGTAAAATATAGTGAACAACAGAAAGACGAAACCTCTCATCATTCAATGTATTCACGGTGCGTGTGCCGGGTCCATCGTTGTAGTTAGAGGAGCTTCAACAGTGACTGTGACTTGTGACCCAGGTGTAGGTTTAAGGGACCCTATCTAACGTTAAACGATCACCTCCACTGTCCAAGTTCCTCTCTACCTAACTAAATTCGGATAAGCGGAAGCGATTTTATTCCGCTATCATTAACACCACGCCCCGACGTCTTTCCATATGCCAAGTCTTTTGGCAATCTGGCAATCTTTTATCTGTTTTTATTGCTTTGATAATTTTTGTTTGTAGATGTAGATTGTGGAGGAAATATAGCTATTTGGGTCTTATGACTCTTTTATCGACATATATATGTATATAGTTTATTTTAACTAAAGATTAACTTATTTCAATAAAGTATAGGATAATATCTATATACAGTTAAAATATGAGGCACATATATATAATATTATTATTAGCTATAAGACTATATAAATTTGAAATTAACTACATACTTCTAGTTATTTTAAACTAAAATTAAATTAAAATCTATTTGCAGTTAAAATAAACTAGAAAAATAATAAATATTGATCGTAATAAAAATGTATGGAAATATAATAAAATTAGAACTTACGATATTTCGCCGAAGGGAGCGAAGGCATCTCTAAGATTCTGTGTTTCAATCTCCGGGCTGAGATCTCCTACGAAGATGTGGTAGTGTTCTGAAACAAATAAAGAAATATATATATACAAGGTTTGATTCCCGACAGCGTTTTTTTATTTAGTTCATAAAGAATATGTAGTGAAGTAAAATGTCTGACTAAATTCCAACTTATTCTCGTGATAGAAATCAAATCTAGATTTGATTTAAAGGCTTAAAGTTAATTCATCATCATCAACCTATCAGAGCCCATTGGCGTGCACAGAGATTTGGGGTAAAAATAAAATACATATTTTCATAATTTCCTCCTCTAAAACATTGATAATAATGATATCTTTAGCAAGTATTGATTTAAATTTTAAATGAAACTAATATTTTTATTATTTTTAACGGGCAGACGAGATGTCTCCCGTGAGCACGGTTGTTGCAAAGTCATCGAAATGTCGGGAGTATGTAGTTTATAATAAAATACGCGAAGTAATTCGAAAATATTGATTTCATTTAAATATTGATAATATTCGTTCATAATGTTACAGCAGTCTGATCTTATACGATACTTTATGAATCTCTCAACTACCAGAGCCTAGAAAATATCTTAAAACGATTAGGTACGGTTCTGTGTTCATCACAGCTTTATAAAAGTTATTTAAATAGGAATATCCAGTGGAGATTCAAACATTCTTATTATCATTTGAAAACAACAAAAAAGGCAAACCAAATAACTTATTTGTGTGTACACAACCTGCTAACTTATTAAAGCTATCATAATACTTTTTATTAAAACGAATAACATTACCTTTCTTCTAGTTCAATTTCAACTGGTCACACACCTTGACTTTACACTTAAGTATTTTATTTTATTATAAAACAAAAATATTGAAAATGTACTCGTAATTATTTCCGATAAACACACATCACAAGCACAGAGCTCACAGCTATAATTTTCTATAATTCGTTAATAAATTAATAAACTCTTAACCAATTAAAACTTATTCACTTGCGCTTAGAAAGACGAATGACAATATTCAATAATAACAAAATGGCGAAAAAAATATATGAACAGTTAACCGACCAATCAGAGAGCCGCATTTCGTTTGACAATTAACGGACTTTTTACGACATTTTAAACAATACAAAATAATCAGTGCTTCTCGAACACTATGCATGTGTTAGTTTTACACACACACATACAAACATTTCCTGCATACATAAAAAAAAAATTGTTTATTTCTGTAACTTTTACATACATATTATATTATAACTGATACTGATATAATTTTTGTACTTAAAATAAGCAGAGAGTGGTTCTGCATACCGCCGCTCTGGCTGCATAGCGGCGCTAGTAGTTAGCAGGGGCCGATCGAAAATGTTTCGTTTTTACATTGATAGATGGCACTTTAAACAAATGTCATTTTAAATGTCTGTTAAACATTTTTATTTCGTAATGTATGATTAAAAGTATGTAAGTAAGAATTAATCAATATAGGTTTAGTAGTTATATGGGTAGGTATGCAGTACTTTTTATTAAGACATGACTAAATTCGATTTTCATTTCGTGATAGCTAATTATTGAAATTCATCAAGTATTTTAAACATATATTTTTACCATTTGACAGCATTAAATATTTTTATTATATTATTGGTGAAATAAAAAAATATCAATATATTTAGATAATCAAACGGATAAGAATTAAACTTTATTTTTGTTCACTTAAAGCTGAAATTACTTTTCAGTCATCATCATCTTAAATTGCAAATTATACTCTTAAATTACAATACATAATTTTAAACAATTACATTATAAAAAGTATAATTTATATAAAAAAAATACAAAAAAATTCAACAAAATGAATTCATATATTTCATGTAATTTTATAAACATCATTTTAAATATCCCTCATCAGTCTATCAGAGCCCACTGCTGAGCAAAGGCCTCTTCTCACATGGAGAAGGTTTGAGCATTAATCACCACGCTCGCTCAAGACGGGTTGGTGATTTCAAACTTAAAATTGTGAAACTATATTTTGTTTTCTGTTGTTTTGTTTGATGTTTTCCTTCACCGTATGTCAGTGATGTCTAAATACTCTTATAAAGTACATATGACTCGGAAAAATCACATTGGTACTTGCCAGGTTTCAACCCGCGCTTTCGGCAACGAGAGGCAAGGCAACATCATTTTAAATATGTTTCTTGATTATTCTCAAACAGATAGATTAAATGTAAAATGGATAATCAAATGATTAATTGTTTTGTTAATAAAGATCGGGGAGCGAAGTTTTCCTTTTGAACGAATGACCAATCTTCTTAAAGTTGAGTTGGAATTTGATCTATTCTCATAAACAATTACTCTTATACATAAAAATGAATATATATAAAAATGAATTGCTGTTCGTTAGTCTCACTAAAAATCGAGAACGGCTGAACGGATTTATCTTATCTTAGTCTTGAAATGTTCGTGGAGGTTCAGGGAAGGTATAAAAGCTAAAAAAAAATTGAATCATTTCCGGGAAAACCCTATAAACAGCCCTTTTTTATTTCACATACAAACGTTTTTTTGACATTAGATTTGACAACTAACTAATATGTCAATCATTCTGTTCGATTGAAACAGGAAAAATTTAATAAATACCAATACAAAATCAGACGAGACGAAACCTCTTAGTGTTCACTGGATTCACGGTGCGTGTGTCAGGTCCATCGTTGTAGTGAGAGGAGCTTCAACAGTGACTGTGACTTGTGACCCAGGTGTAGGTTTAAGGGACATAATTTTACAAGCAGTACTGTATTCCTTTTCAATACATTTATCCTGGTGTATATTCTGTGTCTGTCATCATCTTCTCTCTATAGATCCTCATATAGTATTCATGACACGCGACTCCTCACTCCTGAGAGCGTTCTGACCTGATGCTGTGACTCCTTCAGTACAGTCCCATACATCCTTAACATACTCATATAGTCACATGGAGACATTTCTTGGAACAACTCCTTAAGGAAACAATTAAGGAAACTAGTTTATGAGCACAAAACAATCCTAAACCATTTAATTATTCACCACAGTCCTATAATCATCATCATCATCCTATCAGAGCCCACTGAGCAAAGGCCTCTTCGCACATGGAGAAGGTTTGAGCATTAATCACCGCGCTTGCTCAAGACGGGTTGGTGATTTCAAACTTATAATTTGATAAGTCCATGTTTCCTCACGATGTTTTCCTTCATTAATCAGTAATGTATATTATTATTATTATTCGGAACAATCACATTGGTACTTGTCAGGATCGAACCCCCTCATGCACGAGGCGGACCTTTAACCACTAGGCCACCAGGACTTTTTCACTCCTAAAATAAATTGGTACAATTTTGAAAAACTATTTTCGTTTTCAATTTAATTTAATTCAGTGAGTGAATAAGTTGCCTTTCAAGTTATATTATGATTTATATTTGATTCCCAACAGAAATTTAATAGTCATATTTTATTGCCAGGCTTTTCGACATCATCCGCGGGGATTTTGGTTGTTAGAAAACGAATTATCGCTTCTGAAATTCCATATAAGTTCATGATATTCATTGAAATTTTGCCTAAAAATGTCACCTAATAATTGAATAGATATATAGGCACGTAAGTTTTTATAGTCCTAGGAGTTTTAGGACTATATATAAGTATGACTTATGTGTTTAGGACTAAAATCTGCTTAAAGAAAATCTGCCTAAATAGGGACATAAGTTTTTATAGTTTCAGGAATATTAGAACTATATAAGTATGTATGAATTTTAAAGACAAAGATACAAGAGAATTTTGTTTCTTAAGTCCTATTTTTTAGCAAGAGAATTTTGCAATAATTATATACTTACATCTTTAGTAAAAATGAATAGTTATTATTTAGACCTTAAAGGTACATAATTTTTGGGGGACGAAACAAAAATGAAATTTTTCATAGTAATAACATATACATATTTAAAATAAACCAAAGAAACCTATTTCGCCGTATTAATTTGAGGGTTTTTTGGTGCTCTGTGGTATTTTTCTTAAATCGACTTATTTCCCCAGACGGAATACTTATAGAACTAACAAAAAAAAGTTTTATATTAAGGTAAGAATATTAACATATTTCTTATGAAAATTGTTTTCTTGGAATCATTGCTTGGTAATCTTTATTCCACAACTTATAATATATCTTGCTATTATTTCCATTAAAAGAAATATATGGTTTTAATTGCCAAATATAAATCACTCTATAAATAAAAGAATTATAATTCCCAAAAGAGGGTTGATGTCAGGCAGACGGCCGGTCGTCAAAACAATTAGCCAAAACTATTCACTACATGTAAGGCAGACCCTGGCTGAAGCTGGGAAATTGCCAGGAAGAAGAAGAGAAAAAAAAGAATTATAGTCCATATATATAGAAAATAAGTCCTATAAAGAACATTTGCTTAGGAATAATCGAAGATTTTATAAGCAGAAAAGTAAGGACAATAGTATTTGAAAAAACAGTAGCATTGTCTTAAAATAGCCAAGAACAATTGATAAAGTACTTTGAAATGCACTCCAGAAGTAATATATTCAAACACAGCTTGACAAAATGTTTTTCACTACATTTCCTGATTAAGAATTATGTATTATAATTAAATATGAAATATTATTTGTGAAGTCGTAGAGCCTATCTGTGGTCAAGTTACTACAGCTCGAACATGGTCTGTCTCGACCGTAAGTACCATCCTCTCACTGAAGATCGGCGTGAAGTAGTCTATCTAAATCTACGTTCTGTATGTCCATGGGCGACGGTACTACTTCCATGAGGTAGGCCGTCTGCTCGACTGCCCCCTTTTCCCATAAAATAAATGTATAGGTTTGAGACAATTAACTAATATATTGAAAGTATGTATAATGTTCCTATAATCCTATGTTTAGTATAGTGTATGGTGCTTGTAAACTGTGTGAAGGGAATCTCTTGAAAGTCTTCTGTAGGTCACAACGTGTTGATGCATAATTCATGTCACCGCATACTATCACGTACCTTCAAAGTCACCACAGAATTTCAGATTAACGTTTATATTAGTTGG